AGGCTCTTAACACACACACAGCGTGCCAGGCTGTGTATTATTCTGAAAGAAATCAAGCTGTCTGGCCAAAGTCAAATGAGTAAGAGAGAAAGCTATTCCTTTGTTCAAGATACATGCCCTTACAAAAATGTTCCCCAGACAATCTTTTTTCTCATTTCTTTTATGGCTACTAGCAAAATCTTCCACCCAGGGATGCCAAAAGGTTTCCACCTCTTCTCTGTCAAACTAAATACAATACCTGGGCCTGTCTGTTCTGAATCGTCAGTTTCACTGTAATCCTTAGTCCCTTCCAGTCACCGGTGGCCTTGGCAATGTCATCACCAACCTTTTTTGGAGACTGTAGAAATACAAGTACACAATTACACTGTGCCCAAAACTCTTAACTGCCTCCTACTTCATTTGACAATGTTTCAAATCCTTTTCCAGCATTCATTAAGTAAATGTCTTAAACACCTTACTTTACCTATGTCAATGCACTGCTCTCCCCATAGTAGAAATGCACTGTATAAGCTTAAGGCCTCTTCAAAAGAGTAAAGCAAAAGGTTTCCGTGCATTTACATTACAATCACCTAGACAGCTTTAATGACACCAGGTCTCAGGTGCCAGAGATGGGACCTGAGTATCTGCTGCTAGGAAAATTTCCCTAGTGATCACTGCCTAAACTAAGGGGATATCTCCAACTACCAGCTAAGCTAAGGATTGTTAAGACAGCAGTTACAATAGTGAAGATACATTTGCGACACTGCCCAAAGGAATAAAGGCATATAAATATTCTTGGAAATCCATGTTCTATAAAAGCACTGCATAAAAAGTGAAGGTGTGTACCAGTCAGATCTGATTTGACGGTACACAGACAAAAATTGAAAAAAGAAAAGTGAAGGGCAGTAGGGAAATGTGGCTAGTAATTAAAAACTCATTTTCTAAATAGTGAGGGAGCTCTGATGGCCTAGTTTAGTCCTGAAGACACGTGGTTCATATCCACCAATTAGGGAGCTCTGGTGGCCTAGTGGCAAGGAGCTGCAACTACAACCCCAGAGGTGCACGGTTCGAATCCACCAGATGCTCTGCAGGGGAAGGAGGGACAATCTCCTCCTGTACCAGTCAGATCTGATTTGACGGTACACGCACACAAAAATAATAAAAACTTTAAAAAAATCCACCAACTCTTTGATGGGCATACAGTATCTTCCTCTAAAAAACCCACCAGTTCCACCACCTATATGATGAGGAGTGGCCTCAGAACAGACCCAGCAGTTAACAGAAGCAAATGAGGTTGTCCCATCATTCTCCTGTGTAGATGAGCCAATTTTGAAGGACCTTTGGGTTAAGGGCCCCAACTGCCTACAGACCAAGTCCCCAGAGCTCCCTAGTGCTAAGGAATAACTTGTTCTATTAACCACACGGATTACAGTTTAGAAAAGCTCTCCAGTGAACTGTTTACCTGTACCTTCACCCACGCTGTAGTTAATTTTCCCAACTGCTAAGTCCATCTTCCTGATCACAAGAAATACAGCAAACCCTTCCCATTTTTACCCAGGCCTCTGTGTACATTTAACAAGGCGGTTCATCAGACATTTGCCGATTAACGTGAAGTATTTTGCAATACTGTGCTCGGTACACGTCTAGCCATGCCAGAGCCTACTTTGCTTTATAAATGAATAAATACGAAGAACTTACCAGACCCAGGGGGCCGATCTTGGGGGCCAGAGCGGAAGTGGCACCGACTTCCCCACCGGTACACCTCAGGTACACTACGAGAAAGAAGGATGAGTGCCTCTACAGAACCAGCCCAGACCCCTCTCGCCCTATCTTCTGAGCAAGATCACCCAACCCAGTGCGTCTCAAATCGGCAGCCTGGCTCGGCGGGGACTGATAGGTCATCGCTGTTCGGCGAACCACGGGCAGTTCCCTTGGGCGAGGGCCGCCGCAGCGAGTGCCACGTGGATCAACAACTTAAAATCCTGCGACCATCTATGGCTCTCACACGTGGCCGGCGTGAAGCAGTCCCAGGTGCCAGGGAGCCAGCCCAGGAGAGAGCAGAAAAAGCCGAAAACAAACCTTACCCTAGTGTGCGGTCTGCAAAGCCGCCACACGTTGTCGGGTCCTCCCGCCCCATTAACACGTGGGGAGGTGGAGGGCCAGAAGGGCAAGAAACTCGGCCAGGACCGCACAGCGCCCTAAACGATGCACCCGAAGTTCCAACAGAGCCTTCAGAAGGCCAAGGCTTTAGAGACCGACTTGAGAAAGAAAAGCGCGGCAGGGGCCGCGGCTCCGACGAGGAGCGATGCCCCATATCGCAGCCCCGGCAACATCGAGAACACCCACCGACTTTAATCTCGTTGGGGTCGAACTTGGGCGGCATGGCGGAGGCGGCTGGTGTCGGATGAACCCGGATGCGGGACGACCGAAGAAAGTTGCACCGAAGCCTCCTCGAACCGAAAGCCGAAAGACAGGAAGGCCTGTGGTCGCGCCGGATATACCCTTAAAAACCCTGCTCTCGCGAGAACTGCAGGCTCCGCCCAAGCGGCCAACGACGCCCTTGCAACGATGTTGCTAGTGGGCTGGACGCCTGAGCTGAACCGCCCGAGGGTCTCACACCTCTGTGACCTGCGGCTGGAGACTCTGATGGGATTTCGGAGCTGTTAGCTCCCTGGGACCTGCTCCCTAGTCACGAGTACTACTGTCACCGCGGACCCGGTCTCCCATCCCTGGGCGCCGCCCCTCCCCTGGAGGTCCCGCGTCCCCATCCCGGAACCCAAGTGTTTTGACCACTCTGGGTTCTCTTCTGCCTCCCCTTTGATGTATGTATTCTGGTTATCAAAGTAATTTTATACGAGCCTGAATCCGTTCCAACTGTTGGATTCGAAGATTCTGCGACTCTCAGACTTCATGTGCATGACTGTGAGATTCTGAGTTTGGGTCCCCAGCTTCTGCCTTTGGAAGAGACCAGACACCGGCTCCGCTCAGGCCTGTGCATTATGGTTTGTGACCCTGCGTCCATGACCAGCCTCACTGATTGATCCGTCTGCCTTCGGGTCCCCCGAGGGTCGGAACGTCGGCGACCTCTCCATCCACGAAATCAGGTCTGACAGCTCGGCTCATCCCAAATGATGGGTGTGGTTCTCCCTTTCTAGGATGGACGTCAGAGAGGGCTTGCGGGAGGGCTCATTGTCGGGGGTCCAGGCTGAGATGAACTGGGCTTGGCGACTTGCTAGTTAGTGAAGAGAAGATGGGCAAGTTTATTCATTTTGGAGCTAGGAGATAAGAGCTAGAAGAGTGGATGTTGTTTCCCCAATCGTTATCCATCCCTGCTGGCACAGTGGGGTGACAGGAGAGGCTTGAGCCAGCACTGCAGACCTGGCCCACGCCCCTGTGTCCCTACGGGCAGAGACCCTTGATTGTGGCCTCTTATTTTGAGAACTGGGTTTGTCCTCAACTGCATCTCTCCCTGGTCTCCCGTGCTCCTTAATCCGTTGTTAGGTATGCCGTGCTAGGTGGCAAGCATTTATGAGCACTCGTTTTTCAGGGAGCTTTGGTGGCCTAGTAGTAAGAAACTGTGCTGCAATCCCAAAGGCACACAGTTTGAACCCACCAGCTGTTCCTTGGGAAAAGGGTGGGCATTCTTCTGTGTGATTTATTGCATCAGCTCTAACTCAGTGGCACACAACAACATTTATACACACAGTCTGGTGACATGGCCATTATTGTTGCACTGCCCTGGGCTGTCTTCTTGTCAGAGACCCACTGAACGATCATATTGAGTTGAAATCAGTACTATGACAGTGGATTTTTATATACACCAGCTATTGTGCTCTGGGCAAAGAGCCCCAGTGACACAGTGGTGAAGTGTTCAGCTGTTAATTAAAAGGTCAGGTACCATCTGCTCTGTTTTAGGGGTGGCAGCCTGCTTCCTTCCGTATGATTACAGGCTTGGAAACCCTATGGGACAATTCTACTCTTACCTATAGGGACAGTATGAGTCAAAATTGACCCCATATTGGAAGTGGTAGTAGAGTAGAAGGTGGGAGTATACGTATTATGGTCTTTACATATAGGAAATGACTGGATCTTCATAACATGCAGTGTTGGTAACAATGTTCTTCATAATTTATAGATGAAGAAATAGGCTCAGCGTAAAGCAAGGGGGCACTCTAGTGGGTGGCTGTGCTGGAATTTAAGCCAGGCTGTGTTTCAACCCAAAGCATAAACTGCCCTGATGAATTTCCTGGCATTGGCAGAGTGCTGTGGAGGAAGTGAGCACCTTGACCCTGTGGCAGTGTGCTCAGTGTGTGCTGAGTTATTTGAACACTGAGGAACTAGGTGGACTCAACAGGCTCAGGACTCAGAGGACTGAGGTTACAAGTTGTTTAACTGTACTGTTGGATTCCGTGAGCCTCAAGTTTTTCATCTATAAATAGATAAGAATCAAATGGAATCATTGTGATCATGGTATAGTTCTTCAGGATTACTTATTAATTTAGGCATCTTGAAACATGATGTAATTGTGCTCCCCAAGGTCATGGTTGGCTTGAGGTTGGTTCTGCTGATAACACTGTGGCAGTTAGAGCGAATAGAAATGAATCAACAAAGGGTACTAGGGTTATCAAAAGTCATCCTTGGAAAGGACCTAAGTCAACTCCTTTGTCTAAAGTGGAAGAGCGTTGGAGGCCCAAACGAAAAGAATTGTGCTTAAGATCTTATAGTAGCAAATGTGGCCTACACCTGGTCTCCTGGCTGCTATGTGGAGTTCTCCCATCACATCTTGCTGACTCTTGTCTGGTCAACCGACAGTAGTGAATGCCTGGTATATGGGGCTCAGAGGACACATTGATGGATAAGATCAGCACACACTGTCCTCATGGAATTCACAAACCCACAGATGAATTCTGTGTTACTGTTTTACCTGTTCTGGGCCTTGGGAGGGTTGTAAAGACTTCTGTAAGCCCTCACTTCTCTCCTTTACTGCAGTGTCTTAAAGATCACTCTGGACAAAGAGAAGGATGCCACTCTTCTTCCGCAAGCGGAAACCCAGCGAGGAGGCTCGGAAACGCCTGGAGTACCAGATGTGCCTGGTAAGGGACAGGAGTTTCCTCTGATTTTCCCCCCGCTCCACACTGCCCCTAAACAAGCTATGCTGTTATCCTGCTGCCTCCCTTCCCTCCAGAGATGAAAGGATGGACTGTCTGTCTCTAGACCAGTGAGGACCCCTGTTGAGTTCTCCAGGTGTTCCCTGTTCTCCACTTCCATAGCTGATCAGACTCATCATCACTTGTCACATTTATCTTCCCTGCTGGACTTCAGGCTCTTTGAAAAAGAAAGCAGCACCCCTACCCTCCCCACCACACACACAAATATCTGAATCTGGTCTCTGTGAATCTTTGCTGCTCTTCAGTTTTGTGTCTTTCTCTCTGTCCGTCCTGCAAAGATGGCTTGCTTGAAAAATGTCCTTTTTGTTCTTGTTATCCTTTTTTAGGCAAAAGAAGCTGGCGCGGATGATATTCTTGACATCTCTAAATGTGAGCTTTCAGAGGTAAACTGAGGTTTGTTTGAGGGCTATATTTGATCTGACCTGTACTTCCAGGAAAGACAGATTGGGTTGGGGGCTTTAGCCAAAATCACTAGACATATTTCCTTCAACTTTGATCTTGCCAAAAAGAATTGAGGTAATTCTTTAGCCTTAGCATGATAACTAAGAATCAAGGAATCCAGCTAGAAAATGGTTATACAGATTTCTAGAATGCTGGAAAAGTCTTGAATTTTCTATTCTCTGTCAAGCACCTGAGATCCTTCTCCTGACAAGAGTTCTTAATTTGGAGGTTGAGGGGTTAGAGAGGCCAGGCCAGTCTTCTGCCAATTGATTGGAAAGGAGAAATTGGCATGTCCACGCAACATTCCGGGGCAGCCTTGCCCCTGGATTAGCAGTTCTCTACAGCAGCATTTCTTGTCTGCTTCCTGCCCCATCTCACCCATGTCTGCCACTCAGAGCTCATTAAAAACTAGGACAATGTTGTGCACTGACTCTTCTTTATCTCATCTTAGATTCCATTTGGAGCTTTTGCAACATGCAAAGTTCTACAGAAGAAGGTAAGATAGTCTTGCTTTTCAGAGAATTATTGCTTATTTATGACCACTGGGAACATGTTGGTGTTCTCTTCCTGGCATAGATGCCTTCTTTCTCTCAGCTTTTAACCTGCAGCAAGTGTCCACAATCAGCAGAGTGGGCTTAGGGGTGGGACAAACCTAGGTCTTCCCTGTTTCATGGCTGGGCAACTTCCTTAAACTTTTACATCTGTTTCTTAACCTTTGTAATGAAGACATCTATAGTTCCATTTTCAAAGAGGTTATAAGAATTAAATGAGTGATAGAAAGATGTGAGATAGATAGATGATGGATGGATAGATAGATAGACAGATAAATAGATGGCTGGCTGGCTGGCAAGCAGGAAGGTAGGTAGGTCACTAATAGTAATCACTATACTAATTTCATTTCAGTCATTCAGAGGATATTAAGAGTGAAAGAAATAATTTTATTTTTATATTTATTATTTTTGTGTGTGTGTACCGTCAAATCAGATTTGACTGGTACAGGAGGAGATTGTTCCTCCTTTTCCAGCAAAGCATCTGGTGGATTTGAACTGCTCACCTCTGGGATTGCAGTGCAGCTTCTTGCCACTAGGCCACCAGGGCTCGCCAGAAATCATTTTTTAGAAGACCATTGCAGCTTTGAATGCAGATAAAACATTCTAAATGAAGTTCCTAAGTAAAACTAGGTAAAAAGTGTTCCATACCAACAAAGTAGTAAGCACCTGGCACCTGTATCAAGTAATGATTGTAGGAGGAAAAACAACAAACACACCTCCACCTTACTGTGGAGTGAGAACCAATTCATAGCTGACGCTCCAACAGGTTTTCAGAGGCAATGAGTCACATATTAGATGATTACTCATCTTTCTCCTGCGGAGCAGTGGTGGATTCCAACTGGCCTCAGCTAAGGGCTTTTGCCTGATTAACTTATTAAATCCTTACAGCCACCTTTGGATATAAGTAATTTTTTTGTTTGTTTTGTTTTCATATGAAGTCACCAAAGCTGAGGAAGGTAAACTCAGAATAGTTATATGGGGCTCTTTCCTTAGGGTAGAAGGTAGAATTAGACCTGTGATCCTTTTTTTCTTGAAATTCCAGATTTTTTTAAATTCCAGATTTTAAGGTCATTTGATCCTGCAATTCTGAATTGCATCCACTTGTTGCTTGTATCTGAGAGAGCAGGGATCATGTCATTAAACACTGCAGAGCCACTTGTGTCCCGTGCTGAGCCTCTTCCCATCCCTTTCAGCTTTGCCTCCCTGCTGCTCTTTTTCAACCTAACATTTCCTTATTTCCACACAGGTTTTGATTGTCCATACTAATCACCTCACCTCCCTACTTCCTAAGTCCTGCAGCCTGCTGAGTCTTGTAACCATCAAGGTACTGTGGCCCTTCTTTCAGCCAGTCCATGGCCCAGAAAGTCTCTTTGTGTGTCTCCTTGATTTTAAGTTTCTGCCATTTGAGTCTAACACTCTAGTTAACATATTAATGCTCTCTGTGAGATGTGATCCAGGGTAGTTCTGCCTGCTGTGAAGGGGGTAAAGCATGATTGCATGCTAAGAAACAGGGACGTCTGGACATCAGCATGTTTAACTCTGATTGGTGGGAGTTGGAAATAACCTATCTTTTTAAAATTGGTTATGTACCCTTTTTTCTGTTATTTTCCAGCATCATTATTTTTGTAGTCAGAAAATAGCATAAAAAAGCATGCTTAGAAATAAACAAAAATGTATGAAACAAACCTAATATGCATGTTGTTGTTGGTAGCTGCCATCAGATCACTCTAACTCATGGTGACCTTAGGTACAGTAGAATGAATCACTGCCTAGTTCTGTGTCATCTATGCCCTTTTTGCTTAAAATCATTGTAAAAGAAAATTGATACTAGACATCAATAACAGAAAAAAACCTTTGAAACTACATGTACTTATGGAAATTATGCAATAAACTTTTAAACTGCCAGTGACATTTCAAGAAAGATATCAAATGAAAATGCAAGAACAGCATACTCAAACTTACCTGGTACAGTGAAGGCAATATTGAGAGGGCAACTTAAAGCAACAGCTGTCTCTGAAAAAGTGCAGTGCACTAGCTGTTGCAGTACATAACCAGATAATAAATAGTTATGTAAAAAAAAAGAAAATTTCAAATTAGCAGCCTAACTCAGTAACCAGGAACCAGAAAGAGAAGAGCAAACTAAGACTAAGCCTACTAGAAGAATGGAAATTGCGCAGATCAAAGCAGAAGTTAATAAAATCACAGAAAACCAATACAATCAAAACCAAAAGCTGATTGTTTAAAAAGACTGATAACATTGACAAACACTTAACTAGAATTGGAATCTTGGTAGGTTAAAGCACTCATCTACTATACAAAAGATTAGCGGTTCAAACTCACCATGTCTCTATGGAAACAAGATAGGGTAGTCTACTTCTGTAAAGATCACAGTCTTGGCAAACCTCTGTGCAGTTCTGCTCAGTCCTGAAAGGTCAGTGTGTATCAGAATTACTAGCTGTGGATGGGTTTAGCTAGGCTGACAAAAGGGAAAAGGTGCAAATAACAAAAATAAAATAGAAAAGGTGTGATTGCAGCTGACTTAATAGAAAATTGCTTGACTCCACAATCAACACTCCTCACACCAGCAGTCAGGAAATCAAAAGATGAATTGCACTGAGAAAATCTGTCAGGGACCTCTCCAGAGTATTGAAAACCAACAATGTCAGTCTAGAGACTAAGATCCACCTAATCCATGCCATGGTCTTTGCAATTAAATGCTATGCATCAGAGAGCTGGACAATGACTAATGATGACAAAAGAAGAATCAATGCCTTCGAGTTGTGATACTGGAGAAGAGTCTTAAACTGCTGAGAAAACAAATAGGTCTGTCTTAGGGTGAAACCAGGTTTCTCCTTGAGGCTAGGATTTTGAAGCCCTGTCTCACATATTTTGAGCAAAAAAACAAAAAAAAGGGACCAATTCTTGCTCAGAAGGGTAGAAGGACAGCTCAGGGGAGGAACATCCTGGATGAGATGGATTGATACAGTAACTAGGGCAATGGAGATTGGTGTGTCAGAATCAGTGAGACTGGCTCAGGACAGCCTTCAGAACTTCTGTACTTCGGGTTGGTGTGGGTTGCAGGTGACTCAAGGGCACATGACAACAACAAATGGAAATAAAGAGAGTTAAGACAGTATTACAAACAAAATATTTTAAACACCTGTTTGGCAACAAACTTGATTACTAGTTAAAATGGACAAATAGAAATCCAAATAAATGGAACCTCATAAAAATTTAACACTTTTGTTCATCGAAAAACTTTACCAAAGAAAAGCTACCAGATATTCTAGGAGAATATCTTCAGAAACTACATGCCCAATCAGCAAGAACAACAACTTAACAGATGTATTATGGAGTGCTTTTTTTAAAAAGTGAACATTTTGACATGCTGTTTTTTTGTTTTGTTTTAACATGCTGTTTTGTAGTCTGTCTTTTCAAGATAGATGGGTCAGCTTGATGAGTCAGCTATGGGTCAGTTCTGACTTGATGGTACACAACAACAAACAACAGTAGAAATAAACACTTCATAAATAAAATAGTGTAAAAATTTGAAAAAGGAAATGAGGTGAGAATGATTGTAGTTGGAGTAGAGGGGTGCTAGACACACCTGTGTCAGCACCGGAGGCATGAGGTAAATCCAAGACATCTTGCCTCAATAGAACCTAAAATACAGTAACTGGGCTCTGTTAAGGGGCTCTGGTAGCATAGTCCAGATTTGCAATGTTGACTCAGAGGCCATGTCTTTCTGGCATGTTTCTGGCAGTTCAAATCAACCTGCCGCTCCAGCAGTTCCTCCTATGTGATTTACTGCCTCCGGAAACCCACTGATAAGTGTGCTATGAGTTAGTTTTGACTTGACAGCAGTGATTTGAGGGAGAGATGTCTCGTTAAACTTGTCTTCTTTCTATAGGTTCTGGATCTTCATGATAATCAGCTGACAGCCCTTCCTGATGATATAGGGCAGCTGACAGCCCTCCAGGTATGGCTTCAGGAATGAGAAACCTGCTTCCATCTTGCCCACGTGAGACTTTGAAACTACAGCCTGGGATATCCTGATTGCGCTCTATCTAATAGAAGCAGGTCACTTGCAGTGCCACTTCCCTCTTCCTCTCAACTCTTAAGCTGCCCAAAGGAATCCCTCCAGTTCCCGTGCAGATGTCTATCATATTTTTGGCATATGCGTTCTTGAATTTCACCATAAGCTTTGACAGGTTTACAGGAAAAAATAGGAGTCAGTGAGTCTATCTTTTAGATATGAATTCAGCCCCCTGGCTCACTGTCAGTAATGTTGATTCTAGGTGCTTCTGAGTCCATTTTGATACATAGTGACCCCATCTACAACAGAACAAAACACTGCTTCACCTTCCACCAGCCTCACAATCACTGCTCTGCTTGAGCCCATTGATGTAGCCACTGTCGATCCATTTTGCTGAGGGTCTTCTTTTTTTTTTTTTTGCTAACCGTCTATTTTACCAAATGCGATAGTCTTCTTAAAGGATTGGCTTCTCTTGCTATCATGCCCAAAGTTTGAGATGATGTCTTGACATCTTTTTCTGCTAAGAGCACTCTGATTATGCCTGTTCAAAGACGGATTTGTTCTTTGGTAGTCCATAGTGTATTCAGCATTCTTTACCAACACCACAGTTTAATTAATTAGCATCAGTAGTAGCCCCTCCGTTTACTGAGTGCTAACTATTTGCCAGGCTTTGGGCTAAGCATTTTCTTCGCATTATCTCTTAAATCTGCACAAACAGTCTGAGAGTAGATTTTGTTATTGTCCCTACTTTACAGATACATCTCTTTCCATTGCACTTGGTTTAAAATCCATTCTCTTGACCAGTAAGACTCTATACAGTGAGCCTCACCTGCCTCTCTTCCTCTCTTCCCTACTGCTCCTAAACGCCCAGAGCCTTTTCACTAACCCTTCCTCCTGCCAAATTGCCTTTCCCAGAGATCCTTTCTGCTCAAAGGTCTCTCCCTCTGAGATCCTTCTCCCACATCTCTATCTAGTCAGATCTTCATTATTAACCACTCCTAGCACCTGCTTATTTCCCTGCCTGCACTAATTTCATCAGTAATTACTAGTTTTATTTTTACTGCTTTATTGAGTGCCTCCTCTGTTGGTGTAGTCTCTCTGAGAGCAGTGCCTTCACATAACACGTGGAGGAGACCCAGAAACTATTTGAATTAACAATTCCATGATGTAGTTATTATAGTTTATAAAGATAAAACCAGGGCCCAGAGTAAAGACCAGCTCTTCCAAGGTCATATAGAGAATATGTGGTGGAATAGCAGTACTTGCCACCAATTAGAGAGAGCCACAATAAAAGCCTTGCTATAGATCTTTGAGATGTTTTTTAATGTGTGTGTTTTATGGAATTGCTGTGTTCACTGTTTTGAAGCTCTTAAATGCCTAACAGTAACTCTTCCTGTCATTCTGGCTCATCAATTATTCATCTGCCACATTATTTTAATGTCTGTTTTGTTTTCCATTTGTTTTTGATAGCTACTTAGCGTGTCATCCTTCTGGCCTCCTTTATCTCAGTCTGCTTCCTCACAGGAGTGTGGGAGTGTGGCCTTTGGAATCCTACAAGTCCAGTTCCAATCCCAGCAGCGCCCCTACCAGCCTTGAGACCTCAAGCAGATCACATTTCCTTTTTGCTGCTCATTTTCCATTTCCTTAACTTCAGGAGAGTTAGAGCCATAGGATGACCTGACTTTGTGAGGCTCACTGAATTACTAGCCTTTGTCTCTGTGAGCTATGTGTATTGTAAATCTTGACCTCTGGGTAAAGGAGGCAGGATTAGGTTGTGTTGATGAGTACTGTTGTTGCTAAGTGGCTGAGAAGTCAGCTACTACTCATAACACTATGTAAAATAAAACCAAACCTTGCCTGATCCCATGCCATCCTCTGCTGCTGTGCTCTTTCCATTGTTGCAGTTAATGTGTCAGTCTATTTCATAGAGGGTCTTCCTCTCTTCCACTGATTCTCTATTTCCCCAAGCTTGCTTGATGTTTGTTTGTTTGTTTATTCTGTTGAGGAGGTAAGATTAGCGTAGATTGCACTTAAGTCACCACCTTTACTCAAATTACCACCTTTGCTTGAGTCACGCCTTTTATTTTACACGAGATGAAAGAAGACAAATGGGGAGAGAGAGAGGAAGGCTTGATAGCCACTAAGAAGAAGTGGGAACAGAATATTTCCTTTGGAACAGGGTCCCTGCACTGGGAACCCCTTAGACCAAGGCAAAGCTGAAATATCAGAGATGGCAAAAAGCAATGGCAGAGAAGTGGTGGCAGTAGAGGCAGCAGAAAGAATGCAATGGCTTCCTGGTCCACAGAGCAAGAGAGCGGAGTACCTTTGTCCAGGAGCCTTTACTGATGCAGAGGGTACTCTGGACACTTGGAGTGAGGCTCACTGACTGATGGAAATTAGTTTCTTCAGGCCAAGGCTTACTGGGAGGTTAAACTCCTTCAAGCAATAGGCTTGCTGGCAGAGTATAGGCATTTATTGGTGGAATTAAAGAGCTTTGTAATATTTGCCCTATCAATTGAGAAACTAGACTAGCCCAAGAAACCAAGGATCAAGCAGAGGCCTGCTGTCAGGGATAGCAGAGGAACTGTCCTGACAAAAGAACAAAATCCGGGACTGTAACCTATTACTTCTTGATAAACTCCTTATCGATGAGCATTGCCTTTGAGTTCTTTGTGGCCATTCAAACAGATTACTGAACCCAGAAAAGTAGAGAATGCCATAGGACGAATGGTTGGTGTCAGAATTCATGGCATGGAGAGAAAAGGCATGTCAGATCTCTACTCCATAAGAGTCAGCCTTGGGCTGAATTTAATTCTCTTTCTGCCTTGTGAAGTTAGTCAGTGTGTCAGCCATCTCATTGAGGGTCTTCCTCTCTTTCTGTTATCCTCTGCCTTTCCCAGCATTCAGACTTTTTCCAAGCACTAGCGCCTCTGACAACATGCCCAAAGTATATGAGATGAAGTTTACCACCTTTGCCTCTAAGGAGCACCCTCCTTGCACTTCCTCAAAGACAGACTTGTTTGTTCTTTTAGCAGTCCATGGGATATTCGCTACTTTTCTCCAACACCATAAATCAAAGGCATCCATTCTTATGTCATTCTTATTCCTTGTCCCACTTTCAGATACATAGCAAGTAATTGAAAAGACCTGTCTTGGAGCAGGTGTACCTTGGTCTCTTTAAACTGACATTGTTGTTCTTTGACACTTTGGAGACGTCTTTGACACTTTGGAGAGGTCTTTGACAGAAGATTTTTCCCAGAGCAACACATCTTTTGATTTCTTTTTTTTTTTTATCTTTTGATTTCTTGACTACTGCTGTCGTGAGTGTTGATTGTGGAGCCAAGTAAAACAGTCATTGACAACTTCAGTCTTTTCTCCATCTATCGTGATGTTACCTATGGTCTACTGGTGAGGATTTTTGTTTTCTTTTCTTTAAATTTTTTAAGGGTGTGTGTGTGTGTGTGTGTGTGTGTCCCTCCTTCCCCAGCAGAGCAGCTGGTGGATTTGAACCGTGCACCTGCAGCTTCTTGCCACTAGGCCACCAGAGCTCCCCAGATTTTTGTTTTCTTAATATTGACATGTAATCTATATTGAAGGCTGTCATCTTTGATTTTCTGCAGCGAGTGTTTCAAGTCCTCTTCACTTTATAAGCAAGGCTGTGTCATCTGCATAATGCACATTGTTGATGAGTCTTTATCCAATCCTGATGCCACATTCTTCTTAGTATAGTCTAGCTTCTCAAATGATTTGGTAGCTTTGTAGATGGCATAAGTATGGAGAAAGGATACAACCCTGACATACTCCTGTCCTGATTTTAAACCATGCACTGTTTCCTTACTTTATTTGGACAACAGCTTTCAAATGGGATTGTAACAGTTCTACCCTCCTCACAAGGCTGCCAAGGGACAGATGTATGTAAAGTGCCCTAGCCCAAGCAGGGATTAGGGGATACAGGGGAAGTCACTGTTCTTACGTGGGTTCTTATGTTGTTTTCCCCTCTTCCTTAGGTCTTGAATGTAGAAAGGAATCAGCTGTCATATCTCCCACGTTCCATTGGGGACCTGATCCAGCTGCAAACCCTCAATGTGAAAGGTATGGAGGCCAAGAGCCACTTTTTGTTTGACAGTTTGGGACTGACAGGATCCACAGGAGCTATTGAACATAGAGGTAGCTAATTTCAGAAGTCTCTATGGTGATCAGAGACAGGGTACCTGGAGGGTTTCCATTGGCCCCTCAGAGCTGGGGCCTCATGAGCAGAGGTAAAGATGGTATTGAAACCAGACACCACCACCCCCTTTTACTCTGCCCCCCCCCGACTCAGGTGTTAAATAACCAGCAGTGATTGGAGTAGTGGACTGACAAGGAGAGTAACCACAGTAATGATTCTAATAGCATTTTATAGTCAGTGGTCATGCATCACTTCTGTATTCAGCAGTGTGGTGAGCCTGGTGACAATTCTGTGCATGAGTCAGAGAATTTTATCTCCCAATGAGGGAAGTGAGACTCAGCAAGAAATGGTTACTAAGACAGGCTGGGGAGATAGTGTCAAAGCTAAGATCCTAATGCAGTCTGCTTACCCTCAGCGGAGGCTCGTTTCATTGTAACCCTCAGGTCTTTCACTGTTTCTTGCTGTCCCTTTCTGCACAGAGTACCTTTGTTTACAGTCTTTGTAGTGTATGAATGATTATTAAAGTACTGACACCTGGATGCTTTACTATATCCTGTGTGGTGGTCACTGGGTTGAAGGCTTTAAATGCATCATCTCATTGCATCCCTCAGTATTTTTATCAGGCCAGATAGTAGTATCCTCATTTTACAGATGAGAAAACCTCTCCAGGAAGGTAGATCTGTTGTCCTAAATCACTCAACTAGTGAGTGGTGACATGAGAATATGAACTCACATCTGGGACCTGATGGAGGTAGATGCTCCAGGTGTGAAAGTGCTGCCTCAGGAACCCTCAAGTCCTGTCGCGTGTCAGGCATGAACTTGGTGAAGGGGCTTTGGGGTGTTGAGTTGTGCCATTGACATCTCTTCAGACAACAAACTCAAGGAGCTTCCAGACACCTTGGGGGAACTTCGGAGTTTACGAACTCTTGACATCAGTGAAAATGAGATTCAGAGATTGCCGCAGATGCTGGCTCATGTTCGAACCCTAGAGGTAAGTAGAGAACCCTTCATACCTGTGGTCTTCTCTCTGTCTACCTGCCCATTACCTCACCCACATTCCTGAGTGTGTTCCCTGGCCACAAGCTGCTAGGATCACAGAGACCCAAGATAGGACCTTTAAGAGCTCCCAGAATGCTTGCTTCATCTACATTGAAATCGGAACGGTACAGAGAAGATTAGCATGGCCCCTGTGCAAGGATGACATGCAAATTGATGTTGTGTTGCGTATTTTTTATTTCTTTTAAACTGACATTCTTGCCTAATGATGTTATCTAGGCACCATTGGAGACTGAATAAAACCCCCACCCCAACCAACAAAACAAACCTGCTCTGTAAATAAAGCTACTTATGTGACTTTTCCTGCAATATTTAAGGCAAAAACTCATTTCTAGAGTAAAGAAGAGAGAATTCTGGATTCTGGTGGCAGTAACATTTTATGACGGAAGTGGTGTTTGAGCCAGACCATGAATAATACAATTTTGAGAAATAGTCCTGGATAGTGGAGCATTTCTGGTTGAGAGCATGGTATGAAGAAGCACATGAGTGGAAAAGCAGTGACATGTTAAGGAAAGGAGAGGAAAGCTGGTGTGATTAGAAATTGCTATGCCTGGTGAATCCAGATCATAAATAGTTTAGAAAGCTGTGAGAAGGTGGCCTTGGAAGTAGGAGTAAAAATTCTTCAGGCCAGAATTTGGGCCTTGGAAGGTGCAGAAACTTGTTTCCTAAGAGCATGGGGTAGTGGTGGGGTGAACACTCCCTGAGTCACTGACACGGGGCACACCACTCAGTTCTTATGTTACCTCATGGCTCCAGTGAAGGGCGTCGAGCTGGTGCCAAGTACAGGCTGTACCGCTGACCAGGGACTGTCTCCTTGAATCCTCAGTAGTAATTGTCCAATGAGGCAGATACAATTGTGCTACTTTTCAGATGGAGAAACTTACCCATAAAAAGCATAACAAACTTGCCAAAGACTCACACAGCTTGTAATAGCCAAGATAGGACTAAAGTCAGGCAGTCTGAATCCAAGGCCTGAGCTTTCTTCCCACTGTTTAGCTCAGCCCTGGAACAGGGCTTCATTCACTCAGGTGACAGTCTGGCCAAGCACCCGAGAATCCTCCAATGAGTGGTCGATAAATTGCAACACAGTAAAGAAGCTTGTTGACCTTAGTTACTACAGAAAGGACAGAGTAGTTAGGGTCCTCTCCTGGACAGGCCAGAGAGACAGACTGGGATAGGCTTATGCTGTACTGTCCAATGGAAACTTCTGCAACGCTGAAAATGTTCAGACACTGGGCTGTCCAAATTGGTAGCCACTAACCACATTAAATACTGTTGTGTTTTTATTATTAATATATTTTGAGCCTTTTATTCTTATTTGAGTGAGTGGCTTACAGAGCACAGTAGTTTCAAATTCAACAATTTACACATTTTTGTTTCGTGACATCACAGTCCCCTCACTGTAACAACACTCTTCCGACGACTTCTTGAGGTTCCACATTTCCATTCCTCTTTCCTTCTTGCTTTCTTAACTTTGATTTTGGACAGATGCTACCTCTTTGATCTCATATTTTTTCTTTTTCTGAGGAGTACATCCCTCCCAGGTGCTATTGTTTGATTTATACCCTTCAGTTTATAGGCTGGGAGTTGTGTGGGTTAGTAGTAAGGCTCTGTACTGCCAACACAAAGACACAAGGTTTAAATCCATGGGCAGTACCTCCCGTGCACTTCACTGCCTCTGAAAACACACCAGAGGGTCAGCTGTGAGTCAATTCCAACTGGATAGTACACAACAGTAACCACCACATTATTTGGCTTTTGAAAGAGTATTTTCTAGAGTGGGTTAAATTCCAGCTTTGAAAAGTTTCTAAGAGTCATATTCTTAGAGGTTCTGCCAGGCTCTGTCAGACCAGTTTGTTTGGTCTTTTTTATGATTTTGACTTTGGTTCTGCATTTTTCTAATGCTCTATCTAGAACCTTCTGTTGTGATACCACTAAGGGCAATTGATCATGGTAGCCAGCACTGTTCATTTTTATTTATTTGTAATTTGAGTGAAAGTTTACAGAGCAAATTTGTTTTCCATTTGGCCATTTATAAACATCTTGTTTTATGATGCTGATTATGATACCCTTGGTATAACTTGTGCTCTTCCCACTTCTACCCTGTGAATCTCTTTTCCATTAAACCTTCTATCCTGTCCCTCCCTACCTTCTGAGTTTTACTCCTGCCCTTTGCATCTTGAAGGCTGATTGTTCTAAGGAGTGACTTTGGTGTTAACCATATACCTTACAGTCCTTTCTATTGTTTGGGTGAAAATTGATCCACAGGGGTAAATTTTTTCTGGGTTAGAAGAGTGACTAAGTGGTTTCCACTAGTCTCATCAGTTTAGTAAGCCTGGCTGATTTTTATGTTTTTTAATATTTTCCCACTTTTTTTGCACACTTTATACAGGACCTGCTACTGTGAAGCCTTTTAGAGCAGCCGGCAGTAGCAGGTAGTAGTAGCTGGGCACTGTCAGGTTCTTCTGGCAAACAAGGATCTGATTTCTCCGGTTGTGGGTCATGGGGCCTGTGGGTCTCATGGTTCTTTACCCCTATGGGCTCACAGTTTTCTTCAGGCTTTGATTCTCTTCTCTCTTGCCCTGGATGCGCAGAGACCAGTTGTTGCATCTTAGATAACTCCTTGCACTTTGCTTGTGACCAGTGTGACTGAAAGAAGCTCTGGTGGCACAATTTGTGCTGCAAACTGTAAAGTCCGCAGTTCAAAGTCACTAGCTTTTCCTCCCATAAAGATTTACAGCCTTATTCACCAATGGAGAATCACTGTGAGTTAGAATTAATTCAACCAGAGTGAGTCAAGTGTGACTGAGGAAATAAATGTTTTTATTTTACTGAATTTACATTTAAATAGCTCCATTTGGGTAGTGGCTGCCATATTGAATAACACAACTCAGAGCACATGTTCTCACTCTGAAAGTATTTAAATCACCTAGACTTAGAATAGTGCTCTAGAAGGGACTCATTTTCTGTCAGTTCCTTAGAAGAAAAATCCTTTGAATTCCTGATGGCAAACTTTAAAAAAAAGAGAGAGAGAAAATAACAGTGGCCATTCTGGTTGAGGTCCTCCGATGTTTCACTGTAAGGAGACCCCCAGGGAAGTTTAGTCACCTGTTCAAGGAGATGAAGTCAAGTAAGTCCCCTTGTGTCTACAGACGCTCAGCCTCGATGCCTTGTCCATGGTCTACCCGCCACGGGAGGTGTGCAGTGCTGGCACCGAGGCCATCCAGCAGTTCCTCTGCAAAGGTAAGGCCAGGCAGCCTGCCTCCTCCTGCCAGCGACTCCTCTGTGCTGAGTCCCGGCTGGGCACTGAGAAGATAGCAGAGTCCAAGGCAGCCCCTGTCCCTGCCTGCTCAGAGCTGAAGGCTTGGCAAGGGAAATAGGCAAAATAAGTTATTATACAAGGAGATAGACTTATACCCTGTGATTTTGAGTATACTATAGTACTCCATGTAGTCATCCCCTTGTGAACCTGGATGTTATTTCCAGTCTTCCACTATGATGAACATTTCATCCACACCTTGCTGGCAGAATGTGAATTTTCCTGTAAGGCAGACAGCAGGTGAAGTTGCTGAATGAAAGGAATGAGTGTTCTTCATTGTCTTCTGACACATTTATACCTGATTATGTTCAAATAAGAAGCATCTGAAAAGAACAGTTGGTATTGAATTTTACAACTCTGCTAATCTGATAGATAGTAAATAAGAGTTTGTTATTTTGGTATTGTGTCCTTGGTAATTTGGATTTTTTTATCTCTCTAGTTCAGTTTTGACTCAGCAGCATACAACAACAATAACGGTTTTTTTAGTTTGAGGACATTGTTTAGTATTTCTTCTAGATTGCCTGTCTGTATCCTTCCCTGAGGTAGGTGGGAGGAGCTGATAATTTTTTGATCTCATGAAAATGTAAAAATTCTTTACTTCTAAGGACATACTGATCAGTGTTAAAAAGACAGATAAACGCCTCGAAAAAGAGAATTACCATATGTAATGGACTCAAGGTGATTAACTAAAGTATATTAGGAAATATCTATGAACCAATTTAAAAAAGGCAAACTACCCAACAGAAAATGAGTAAAGGATGTGAACCCTGTCAGTTACCAAAGAAGGAAGGCATCTGATTCAAGGTCACTCAGCTCAGCCAGTTATTGGTAAAGCTGGGTCTTAGGCTCAGGCCTCTCTGCTATCTCGGGCATTTTGTACCATCTCCTCCTCATTTAGACAGGAAATAGGCAGGTGGCATTCCCACCTATTCATCCAGCTCACTTTTATTGAGCTTCTACCACAGTCCAAGCCCTGGGATTAGGACCAGGGTACAATATAGAGTGTTCTAGGGAAGACGGAAACTGCACTGAGCAGGGCAGGACAGAAGACGCAAGAGAGGAAGGGGGAGGGAAAGGGCTGCAGGAGCTGGGGTTTTTGAGTATCCAGGCCTGTCTCCTCCCTCCTGATCCCTTATCTTGCAGAGTCTGGACTGGAATACTACCCTCCTTCTCAGTACCTGCTGCCTGTTCTGGAGCAAGATGGAGCCGAGAACTCCCGAGATAGCACTGATGGGCCCACAGACAGACTCTCAAGGGAGGAGCTAGCATGGCAGGTAAGGTGTACCTTCCTGTGGATACGATGTTCAGGGTTGTAGCTCCCAGATTTCTTCCTCCATGAGAGCACAGGAGTTATGTATGCTTTAAAAATCAAACTAAGTGGAACACCTCTAGGTCAATTGGAATGACATAGTCCACAGTGTTGACACTTGACTCTAAAAGCTTGTGAGCAGCTATATAAAATACAAGAATTAATCTCTCACAGAATTCACTCTCACAAAGTTCAGCCCATCAGCAGAGATAAACGTTAAACTAATAGTTTCTCATAAAATTATTAATTTCAAGTGCAATCATTGCTATCAAGTAAATGCACAAATCATTGCAGGTCTGACCTGGTCTAGGGCATCAGGGAGGATTCCAGAGAATTAAATTGTAAACTGAGGACTGAAGGAGAAGACTGAGTGAGCAGAAATTCAGTGGAGAACATTTCAGAGATTAAGAATATGCAGTAGGCTCTGAGGAGGCAGGAGTGGAGTAACCTAGGGTAAACAAAGAAGAATTTATAAATTGCTAAGCTATTGAACAAAGTGGTCAGAATAGGCTTTGTGAGTGTATTGCTCTAAATGAGGGTGAAATCTTAATTTTTTTTTTTTGCCTGTTTGGGTGAAAATTTAAAGAAGAAATTTATTTTCCATTCAACTAGTTATACACATTTGTTTTGCAACATGAGTTGCAGTTCCCTCAATGTAAAACGCTCTTCTGTTTCCTTACTGGGTTCCCCATGTCCGGTTGTCCCTCTGCCCTGTCCCTGCCTGCCTCCTGAGCTTTATTTTTATGCTGGTGCTGCCCTTTTGATCTTACATTGTTGATTATTGTGGAATGTGATTCTCACAAGTGTTCTGTCTGTAGGTCTATCTGTTGTTTTGCCCAAAGATCCTGGGGATAGGTTCATAAGCAAATTTGACGAATCTAAGGGTCTTGAGGGTACCGTGCATCTCTGTCACACTGATGAGTCTGGTCCTTTTATCATTTTGAATTTTGTTCTACATTTTTCTGCCATTCTGTACTGGACCTTCTGTGATCCCAGTTAAAACCTCAGTAGTACTCTAGTTCTTTCGTTCTCTGGGTAGTAGGGCTGTGGCTCACATGGTCCATTAGCCCTTTGGGCTAAATGTTTCTTTCAGTCTTTTCTTTTCTTCACTCTTCTTTACTCCTGACAGGAAGAAACCAATAATTACATCTTAGATGATGCAACTGGGGAGTTCCAGTGGCATAGTCCACAGTGAGCTGTGCTGCTAAACCAAAGGCTACACGACTCTAGCTGTTCAAATCCACCAGCAGCTCTGTGTAAGAAAGATGAGCAGTCTCCTCCTATTGTGATTTATAGCCTCAGAAACCAATGGAAGGTCTCTAAGAATTGAAACCAAACCAGTGGCAGTGCATTTGAGTTTGAGATGACTGCTTGCTAGCTCTGAACACCCTGCTCAGCACTCACCACGGCAGAGGGTCTCACATTGTCTCTGTGAACTGGGTTGTGACCATTGACTTAGATGTCCCCTGAGACCAGCACTAGGAAAATAGTAATTTCTTGTTTAATTCGCAGGTAGATAAATCTTTTGCCAATTTATTTTTCTTTTGGGGTGGCTTTATTATTAATTTGAAAGAGTTCTTTATTTTTAGTCTACTAATCTCTCATTGGCTGTATCTGCTGCAAACATTTTCTGAAAGTATAAATTGACACATTCTTCCTGGATTGGAGTCTCTTCTTTCTCTAATTCTCATTGAAGTGCCAGGAGAAATACGAAATGACAAATGCACTTAGAGCAGAACTGAAAAACGATGGGTGAGTGGATCAGGGAACCAGAAACAACCAACCAGTGTACAATATAAAGCAAATTAGACTGGATTGGTGGTGGATAACCCCAAAGGAAGAGACATCTAGAAAGTAGGTCACCAGTCATCACAACAAATCCTATAAAATCAGCAAGCCTGGGGCTTGGATGAGGTAATGGAAGATTGTTGGTGGCATCACAGTGCCCCATTTTCTACAGAGCCGACTTATTGGAGCTGCCACTTACTGATTCCTGTGGTATCCACTGTACCCATCCGAGCCATCAGAAGGTTTTGTGAGGTTTTCCTTGGTTTATGAGCCTCCAGAATGGGAGCGAAGCACACAGCCCAAGGTGGTTCGTTCTTGCTTCACTTTCAATCAGTCTGAGTTGACATGCCCGACACTTGCTGAGCTTCGTCTTCCATCCTCGTACCAAGGAGGACCAGGTGCTTGTCTGTCTCCCTCACTAGACAGGTGTCCTGTGCTAGAAATGGCATTTATTCTAGAAAGTTTGTTAAGAGACAACAGTAAATTAGGGGGTGCTATTTCCCCATTAGATTGAGGCCCATTCCCCTCACTATACCCACTGTGATTGGACTGAGTTGTATCAGCTGCCCTAGTGGACTTGGGGCACACATCAGTGGAGAAACCTTGCTACCTACCTTCTCTTGATGATGCTCTTTCCCCCCCCCAGAATAGGTTCTCAGACTATGAGAAGAGGAAGGTAAGAATACCTCTTTTGTCTTTTGTCACTTTGTTTGTAATTAAAGATTCCAACTTTTAGAGATTGGAGGAAATAATTTCTTCCAGGCTCTAAACCAAAGGTTAACATAATGCTTTTCTCTAAAATACATCATGTCACCAGATATTCACATATCTTCACATGGGTGGTACAGAGAGTTTCCATTTGAAAAATGTGGAGACTGAAGCTCAGAGGTTGAATCCACCACTAGGCCTCTGGCAGCAGCAGCCTATCTTTTTATAACCTGGTCTGGTGAAGGGAGTAGGGTCTGAGGGAACAGGGAGTTGCTCAGCATGGGGGCTTTTTTCCTGTGTTATGCAGAATTGAGGGTGGATTCCCTGCTGTTCCCATGTAATAACACCCAGAGAGCCTTGCTTAGTCTGTGAATGGTCACTGGGCTTTGCATTCTCACAGGAGCAGAAGATGCTGGAGAAACTCGAATTTGAACGGCGCCTGGAACTTGGCCAAAGAGAGCATGCGCAGCTTCTTCTGCAGAGCAGTAGTCAGAAGGATGAGATCCTGCAGACTGTCAAGGAGGTATGTGAGCTGAGTAGGGCAGGCCTGTCTGTCATGTGGGACGGCAAAGGCTTGAAACCGCCTCACTTCTGTCCTCCAAAGACTAGGAAGGCCTTAACAAGGCTACTAGTTCAGCCAATTCATTGTGCAGGTGAAGGCTCTAGGATAGAGAGGATTTGGCCCAAGGTCATGCAGGAAGGACTGCCAGTTTCCTGCTTGAACCCAGTGCCTCTTCTGTCCCTGTCCTGACCGTAACTGTGCTGTGGCATCGAAGGGGTCCCAGCCAACTCAGGACTCTGCTTTTCCTACTGAAGGAGCAGTCCCGGCTGGAGCAGGGCCTGAGTGAGCGCCAGCGCTACCTTGATGGTGAGAGGCAGCGGCTGCACGAGCAGCTGAAGCAGACAGAGCAGAACATCTCACACAGGATCCAGAAACTCCTGGAGGACAATCAGAGGTGAGGCCCCAAATCCACAAACCTTTCTTTTCCTTCTGAGGGGTCCAGAATGGGAATCCATTTTTCCTTCATTCTTCTTCACCCCTGTCCAAGGCTTTCTTTGTTAGGACCCAATCTTGGTATTTTAACATGCATCAAAATAAAGTGAAAGCATCTTACCTAAGTTCTTGTCCTAGAACTGCTACTGATTAAATTGATGGTTTCAGGCAAATGTTCCCCTTCTGGCCTCTGAGTTTTCCATCTGTAAAATGAGTGGATTTAACAAAATAGTTGAAGTCATGTCTTCTTTCAGTATTCTTTCTAAGATAGGACCTACTAAAAGTATGTCCCTAGAAGCTTGGAAGAAAGGAGTTCAGATAGAAATCTCATAAATCCTGAGAAAATCTAGCCCAGAGACTCACCGTGAGAAGACTGTAGAAACCAGCTTTGGCCACATCCCCCGAGTCTCCAGGTGTCCTTTATTTCTCTTACCAGGAACTTCTTCCTCCATCATCTAGCGTCATATATAAAGTGCCTGCACCCAAACCTGCTATGGTCATCATGTCATCAGGATGCTCCGGCAGAGCTACCATTTACTGAGCCCTTGTTATGTGCCAGGGGACGCTCTGGTGGAACATAGAACAGTCCATAGAGGGTTGTACTGTTAACACAAAAGCTTCATCTCTGGTGGATCAAATCCACCAGCACATCCACCGGGGAAAGATGGACAGTCTTCTGTGTGATTTATAGCCTTCGAAAACTCATGGAGGGTCAACTCTACAGCAGTGTTTTGAGTTGAAGATAAAAGGTGATAAAATAGGAAAATTTTCCTTACACCCATTCTGGGCTGTGAGATGAGTAAGGGGATTGCATCCTGCCCTACTTGTCTATCTTAAAGCTGACTGGCTGATCACACCATAAGGTATCATTATGTCATTGTGTAACTACTAAACTGTATCATTGCCTAGCTGCCACACCAATGAGAATCAGGGCCTGGCCAAATTTTCACATATTTTGAGGAGAAGAAGCCAAATCAGTCCATGATAACAAAGGAGGAAAGCTGAGACTTGGAGTTGTTGTTGTTGTTGGACTTGGAGTAGTTGCTTATATATCTGGCCTGAGAACATGGAACTCTTGAGTGGTGAGGCTGGAACTGTCCCTCACTTGCTCTGTACAGCCATACTGGGAGGGGAGAACTGTTCTGTTAGAAATAGGCCTGATGGTAACTCCTGGAACCTTTCATCTACAGGCAAAAAAAAAGTTCGGAGATTTTGAAGTCACTGGAAAATGAGAGGTATGTGTTCTACTCTGATAGTCTTTTCCAGCCCTCACCTTTTCCAGGGAGGTGAGGAGCTTTGGGGAGAGAGCCTCTTGTGTTTCTCCTAAAGCTGTAAGGAAAGTCACCTTCCTGGAGATTATTGTACAAAAGAATCACTGTCTTCAGGTCCTTCAAAACACATATACACTCTTAAGGGAAAATTCAGAGATGTGAATAAGGATTACATATGATTCCCAATGGTGTTTTTAGTATAAAAAGTTAGGTAAAAAGAAATTTCTGGGGGGAAATTGGCTACATAAAATATGAATAAAGGAATACTCTAGAATTACTAAATATGGAAAAGCATTCTTTGTTAGAGAAAATATAAAACATTGCTAAGTAGGAAAATGGCTAAATTCAAAGTCTGTGCCCGTATATGGGTTTTTAAAGACAGTATGCATGAAGATAGCATAAGTGCTCATCTGCTTTCTAAACAATAAACATGGGTGTGCGTCTTTCAGTTTTTAAGCATCAGTAAATTGAGTATTTGTGTCCTTTGCCTGTTTTCTTTCCGGTTTTTTGGTTGTGATTTCCACCCGCCCCCAAGAAACTAAATTACAAAACCAAAGGTGAACAGGACCCCAAGGGAGGTACATGAGACTATGCTAGGTTAACACATCAGGGAGGTCTTTCTTTTTTCAGTTTATATTTTTATTGTAATTTTAATGAAACTTGACAGAAAAGTTGAATTTTCATCTATTCATTGTTGCACATTTTCCTCCCTACCCTCTGCCCCCAGTTCACTTTTTTTAAGAAACCATTCATTGTTGCATAAGGGATATCTTTCTAGAGGAGGTGGCATTCTTCTGATCAATTTACCTATTAGAAATGTTAGGTTTGCTGAATGCATGTGTGGATGTTTTCTAGAATAAGAATGGAACAGTTGATGGCCATAACCCAGGAGGAGACAGAGAATCTGCGGCGACGTGAGATTGCCTGTGAGTGTAGGGATGGGAAAGGTGGAATTCCCTGCAGCCAGGGCTTGGCTGATTGGGTGGACAGGAGTAGATAGCCTGCTCTGTTGGTCACATACCAAGGACAGTGTTACCCAGCAAGAGGGGCAATATAGTTATGAAATACACAAAATCTGGGATCTGGGGTCAGGCTGCATCAGCATCCCAGCTCAGACAGCAGCTGTTTAGCCTTTAGAGGATTACTGGTTCCTTGAGTTTGAATTTTTAAATGAGGAGATGCCTCCTCACATGTGAGCCACCTCCCAAGGAATGCTGAGAAGGAGAGAGGCTGGAGGGAAAATAAAAAAGTAATTCTGTTTGGATTGCACATTCTTCAAAACCTTTTTTACTAGAATAGGCTGTTCTATGCAGCTTTAATCCAGGCATTCTGTGAACCAGGCACTGTTCCAACCACTTGTCATATATTATTTACAAAATATTATTCTTACCTCCTGGATGAGGTGTCATGTCATTATATTACTTTTTAAGAATCAGTATTATCTACCACTTATAAAAGGAAAAATTACGTTTACGCTTTCAGAAACCTTTCTGAAAGGATGTTTATCTGCTTTTTGCTGCGGAGTATGGCTATTTGTGGTGGGCAGAGAGAGGGACTCAAATTACTTTGGTCCTACAACTGTGACTTCTAAGAATTATTCTTAAGAAATAATCAGATGTCCACAGAGATATTTAAGCAAGAATATTTGTTGAACTTATAATAGTAATAATAATAATAATAAATAATAATAATTCAAATGCCCCAAATAGAGCATTGTCCCAATAAGCTGTGGTGATTCATGCCTTGTAGTATCCCACAGCCCTGAACATCACCTCAGGGGGATTTGCTGATGAGGAATATTTGTGAAATGTTAGAGGTGATATCTTTATCTATAGTGTGATAACATTTTTTTTAAACCTGTAAATATACATAGATGGTTGGAAGAATACACATCAAAGAATAATATTGCTCATCTCTGGGCAACAAGTATATAGATAATTTTATGTGTGCTGTTCAGTATTTTTAATTAGCCTTTCAAGCTGTGTCAGAGTTAAAAAGGAAGAAGAGTTGTTAAAGGGTGGCTCAGGTGGATAACCCGGTGACTCTGACTGGCCGATTCTTGCACTCCAGAGCAAATTCTGGTGGCATTCTACCCTACCCCAGGAGGGTCTGCTGTTTCTCAGCCTGCTCTGGTTTTTCCACAGCCGCCATGCAGCAGATGCTGACCGAGAGCTACAAGAACCGACTTATCCAGATGGCTTACGAGTCTCAGAGGCAGAACTTGGTCCAGCAGGCCTGTTCCAGGTAAGGTAAGGAAGAGGCTTCTGACACGGGCAGTTGGGGCTGCTGAGTGGAGATGAGGACTAGGGCACTAAACTCTGCTGCCCTGTGCCAGTGTGGACTCAGCCAAGCGATCGGACAAGTGTGACTGGTCTTGGTGACTTTTCTAGCTGAACTCCTTGAATCTGTGTTGGGCTGACAAAAAAATCATAATAATATTTTCTTATGTACTGCCTGTGTGTCTAATAATACTAGGCTAGGCAATTTATCACATTTGCTTATTGATTCTACAAGAGACTTACTTGTCATTAGCCATTTACAGTTACAACTCCAAGGTTCAAAAAGATCACGTAAGATACTCAAGAAGCTATAGCTAGTTGGTGGCAAAGTCAGGATTTGAACCCAGGCAGAGGGCGGGCTGTGCACCTGACTGTGGTGCACTTGCGGGTCTGTGAGGGTTCTGCCCAGGATGGGAGCAAAATACACCCTAGAGGGTGGATGACAGTGTTGCTTTCATGCTGATAGCTGCTTCCCCAGTTTCCCTGGCACTGTGGGAATACCTGTTTCTAACGTCTTAGATTTCTAACAGAACCAGCGGAAAAAGTTCATTGGTTGAAACTCAGGAACTCCAAACAGCAGACCTGGCTGACCTCATGTTGTTCCTATCCAGGCTGTTCTGCAGAGCTGCCACCATCTGTCTGTCCCTGCAGATATGGGAATATCTCCTTCTTTTTCTGGTAGTGTGACTTTGTACTTAGGACAGTATGTCCTGGAGCCAGGCAGGCCTTATTCCACATTCCACTTCTAGTTACCAAGTCTGAATTCATGGGAAAGATACTTTCCGTCCCTGATTCTCAGTTTTCTTATCAAAAAAATTAGGGGAAAATCATAGCTCATTGGTAGCTAGAGGAATTAATGAATATAACGTGGCATGTTGCTGGGAGAGGCTGTTCTTAGAGAGGGACATCATGCTCGGAAAGGTGGAAGGTCAGTAAAGTAGAGGAAGACCCTCAACCAGATGGATTGACACAGTGACTACAGCAATGAGTCAGAGATGATGATAAGATGGGGTTCAGATTTATTTACAGAGTTCCTATGAGTCATACTCGACTCAGTGGCACCTAACATCATCATCATCATTATTATTATTTTTATTATTATTATTATTATTATTAAACTAACACACTCAAGGCTGTACCAGAGTATGGACAAGCATGAGACTGCTTATCTGCTGAAATCACTAAATTTCTTCTGGGGCTGTGGAGAAGCAGCAAATAGGATACTGGGGATACAGTATCACCTGGGCTGGAGATACACGCATTAATACCCAGGATGGGCAGCTTTCTCACTAAGTGCTCACCTTAAGTGAGAGGAGGCCTTTGTTCATGGAGCTGGGTGGGTAGAGGCTGTGTGTATACCTCACTAAGAATTGTAGAGGGAGCTCCAGGGGAAGGTTATCCTCTAGGGCCATGGGCTTTGGATGCACTCCATGTCTGTGCTCAGCCTGGGACATGGTCCTCAGCAGAGACTCTAGAAGTATTCTGGAGTGGACAAATGGTTTCTCTTTATCTTCTCCAAGTGAGCACCACCGTAAGTGCTCAGGGAATGTTCTCAAAGCAAGTGACTGTGCTGTCTTTCTGGCAGCATGGCTGAAATGGATGAGCGGTTCCAGCAGATTTTGTCGTGGCAGCAGATGGATCAGAATAAAGCTATCAGCCAGATCCTGCAAGAGGTGAGCCCTTGCCCAGGGCCTGACAGAAGGTCGCAGGAGGAGCAGACATGCAGGAGCCCGAGCAGAACGTTGGCACTCTCCTTAGAACCTAGCCCAAATATCATGTAAGACCCTTGAGGCTTAGTGATGTAAAAAGGTAAACACTATCAGGAATATAGGGCATAGAGAAGCCTTTGGGTGATGAATTCTGATTGCAGAAATCAAACTAAGAGCTCCCAACTCTTGTCCACCATCCTAGAAAACAAAGAGGTTCTGTTGTAAGGACTTCATCAGGCACGGAGTGACGGGATCACACCATTGATATTGAGCCATAGGACAGCTACGGAAACCTTAGACTTAACACTGCTTACAATCCCACTATACCACTCACTTCTCTACTACTGGCTGGCCCATCATAGGTGCTTGGTGGGTGCTGTTATCAGTGAATGACTCCCCATTGTTTCCTCTCGCCTTTGTCCATATTATCCCATTCCAGCTTTTCCCCCACAGCCTCTGCCAGTGTGTCTTTCCTGCATCCTCATATCCCTTCTCCTTTTAATCTTTCTTATCCTCCTGCTGCCTCTGCGTTTGTCTCATCTAGCCACCACGCTGCCATCCTTCCCTCTCTACTTCCTCCCTCACTTCAATTTCTTCTTTCAAAGAAGTTGGGCTCTGTATTTGTTGGAATTGTCTTGGGAAAGCCCTCTGTTTCTCAGAAAGGGCATCTAACTTGTGGTATATAGTTAGGTGCATAGTGAGCCACTGAAACTGCACAGACACAGTCAAGTCCTCGGGCCAGTCAACGCCCTTCGGTGAACTTCCCTTCCCTCATCTGCAAAACAGGGTGGCAAAAGTGCCTATGTCAGCATTTATTGTGGCGGTTCAGTGGACAATAAAGTGAAAAAACAGTTTTTAAATATAATTTAATAAGTTTTCAGTATTTTCACATTTTAAACAAATGTACTAAAAAAGTAGTTTTTCTTTCTTTCTGTAAGGAAGGGAAAAATCATCCAGTTAGGGCCTTTTTACACAGATTTGGTTTCTCCCTCTATGGGATTCCTTCCCTCTGGGATGCCACAGCCCCTGCTGACCAGGCTGTGATCTCTGTCACAGAGCACCATGCAGAAGGCCGCCTTTGAGGCTCTCCAGGTGAAGAAGGACCTCATGCACCGGCAGATCAGGAACCAGGTGAGTTCTGAGAGCCAGGCCACCCGTCAGGAGACTGCAGGCTTTCAGCAAAGTGCGGCTGTAGCTCAAGAGGACAGCATTTGAAGACAGTTAAGGTCTGACTCCTAGCTCCTTCACTTGCTAACTCAGCAACAGAGCTTGCTTCTAGGAAACTCACTTTCCTCATCTGTTAAATGGGATGGCTACAAACCCTATGTCAGATGGCTGTTAGGAGGACGCCTTGAAATGGCACTTTAAATGCTGTTATCCAAGGACACATGCGCCCTGTTCCTGCTATTTGCAGTGATGCCAAGAGCTGACTGAAAAGCAGTCGTAATGTGCTGTCTTTACCACTTGGAAAGCCCCTGCATGGACCACATCCCCGGCAGGACTTCCTCAATAATGGCCTCAGACTCTTCCCTGTCAGCTCAGACTAGGGGGCAAACTTGAGGGATGTCTGGGGGCGATTGGGTCTCCTACCTGAGTAGGCAGGGAATTGTCAGGAGTAACCACTGACACTAATGTCTGCTGAGGAGGGACCCTGCCTGGGACAAGTGGTTTGGTTCTCATCTAAAATCTGCTGCTTACTTGTGGGCGGACTCGGGCAAGTTCCTTCAATGCCTGCCTCTGTCAGGGGCCTGGTGTCTGTCTCACTGGACTCTTTTTCTAAGAGTAAGTTGGGGTTAGTTTGCATGTTGTCCCCAAGGGGACAGCCCCACAGGCATGCTGTTGGAGATGTTTTGAGCTTTCAGGTTATGGGAATGCTCATCACGTCACATTCAATGCACTGAATTTCATATTTTTGCATGTTTTTTTGTTTTGGTTTGGTTTGATATTTTTCCTATCCGTTCTTTCCTTTTTTAAACAAAACCAACTTACCTTTTTTAACTTCCCTTTTTAATTTCAATTCTCCCCCCATTGCCGGACATGAAGCTCATTCCTCTGACCAGGGACTGATGGGGTCATAAGGACCAAGGCCAGGGTCATCGGGACAAGGTAGAAAGTTCAGTGAGCAAAGCGTCTGGTCAACAGGGCTAAAAGTCCCCAGTCACCCCTTGAGGGTGCCCAACAAGCCCGGGGATTCTTACTGTGGGTAGTTTTGACCCTGCAGGCTCAGATCCTGAATGGGAGCATCTTGGGCAAAGGACTCACTCACTAGCTCCTACTGTTCAGGCAAGCTGCTGACACGCTCAGAAGTTGAAGTCCCTATAAGCCGCTCAGATGCTCAGAAGTTGAAGTCTATATAAAGTGCATAGGACAAAGCCTAGCACACAGTAGATGCTCAAGAAATAGGAGCTGCTGTTTTTCTTATTTAATTACTTCCCTCACTCCCTACTCTCTCCCTTCCCTGTGATAGTTGCTTAGAGGAGACAAGAGATTTTGATCAATAAGAGGCTTTTGATAATTGCATGACTGTTTTTTTACCTCGACCTGACTCTTGAAGGTGAGCCCCTGACTCATCCACATGTCCATTCTGTGGCAGGACCCATGCTTTACTCTTGGTGCACATGTTGGCTAGAAAGGCCTGCAAAGCCAGACAGGAGCTTCATTTGTGAGGTTCTGACCTGTGCACGTCCCCAGGGTTCCAGAGCCTCCCTCAGAAAGGTTTCTTCAGACCTCATTTGGCCATCAGAGCAGCAACAGCACAAATTTGAAACATGGTTGAAATGAATAAAAAAATCCCGTTTCGTCTTCTGTTTAGATTAAGTTAATAGAAACTGAGTTATTGCAGCTGACACAGCTGGAGTTAAAGAGGAAATCCCTGGACACAGAGGCACTACAGGTATGTAGGGCTCCCTGGCATGCCTGTCCCTACCTGTCCCCTCAATTAGTGACATTCCTGCGCCAGCCCTCCCCATCTCAGCATCCGCTCAGTCAACTTTTCCAGCAGGACGAGAGCAACTGTGACACTAGAAAAGTTCCACAGACACTGACGGGGACAAGAACAAGCCTGGGGACTGAGGCCAGGATTAAGGGTTGGGTCATACATTGCTAGGTAGGGTCAGAGGAAGAAGGGTTTCATTGCCAAGGCTCACCCAGGCCAACGTCTCCATCTCCACATTTTCTTTGTTTTGGTTTGGGGTCACTGCTGTGTTCTCTGTTTCTTTAAGCTTGCTCTGGGCTCTTGTTCCACTTACTGGGCTGACATCCTCTGGGGAAGGAGCTTTCCTGCTATGCCAGGGATGTTGGGAGAAAGAGTCCTGTTGTTACTGAGCTTGTCATGCAAGCATCTTCTCAGTGAGCTCCAGACTGTTTCCTGCTGAGAAGCCCGAGAGCAGCAGGGCCCAGCAGACACATTCTGAAATGAGTGCCTGGAACCCAGTTTTGCTGTGTGTGACCTTGGTGAATGAAGGAGAAAGAGGTAACCCTTCCCTTTCTCTGGACTTCAGTCACCCCAAATGTACAATAAAGAGGTCAGATGGTATATGAGGACATGTATTTCATGTCAGGCTTTCAAGCAAAGCCTCTGTCTGTCTCTGTCCCTTGGTCTGTTCTGAGTGAAGATGTCTTAAGCTGTCTCATGGGCTTGGCTTCTCAATGCAGTAGAAATGTGCTGGGATCTGAAGTCTTGGCCACAGGTCTGTCACAGATGTGCTGTGTGACCTTGGACAATCACTTCCCTTCTCTGGGTTGTCAGAGGAGATTAAACTAACAAATAAGAAAGCCCTTTTTGAACTTTGAAATGATCTTCAGAGATGAAGGGATAAGAGTGACTCTCAGAAAAAATGCCGCCACCATATAGAATGGGAGCCCTTGTCTGCTGCAGGCATTCTCTATTTTCAGTCTGTGTTGGGGCTCCCAATGTCCCAGTTATATAGCAAACCCTGGTTGCAAAGGAGACTGCAGAGAACTCAGCTCTGGCCTTCTTGTGCCTTATTTGCCTAGAGCGCTCCTCATTTGTATGGAGGATACACACTGACCCAGCCAGCCATTTGCTTCTGCCCCATGCTGTGTAGTCCATGAAACTAATCATTGCCTATGGTTTATCATTTGTTTTGTTTTCACCACCCACCACTGTCATCCTTCATTAAGATCCCATGACTGGCCTTAGCCCCCGGGGAAGGGGAGATGCGGGTTTGCAAGGAGGTGGAGAGGGCTGCTTTGGCTTTGGCCTCCAGCCTCTATTTGAGGGCCCTTTGGGACCACAGTTGGGTAGGGGCAGCATCCAGAAGACCTGGGCCTTGCCCTTCCTATTGCTTCCATTTCATAGTGGGGGGACTTACAGATCCAGAGGCATCAGGAGCTCACCGCTGCCATTGGGCATGGTCTGTGTTGCAGGAGATGGTCTCCGAGCAGCGTTGGGCTCTCAGCAACCTGCTCCAGCAGCTGCTCAAGGAGAAGAAGCAACGAGAGGAAGAGCTCCAAGACATCCTAGTATGTGTAGCTTCTGTGTTAGCATCACTTGTGGGTTTGCTTTCCCTCAACACACTTGCTGTTTTCAGAAACATTTTGTCATTCAAGTAATAGCTGCTCATCAAAGAAGAAATGGAACATGCAAAGGAAAATACTCTTCTGAGTTAGCTACTGCTAACGTTTTTTGATGTACATTTTCTAAACATTGTGACACATGTTTAAGCTATACATGCTATGTAAGTGTAGTGCGCGGTAGTGCATAACTCCTTTATAACTTGTTTTTATAACATACATTAAGCCTCATGGTGTGCCATTACATTTTCCTCACCACATTCATTTTCATGGATGCGTTTGGTATTTGGATCCAGTCTGTTATGAATTAGCATCTAGATTATTACTCCCATTTTTGTTTTGGTTTATTCCTTTTATAAAAAATACTGTCTAACGATTTTTGTAGCTTAAGCTTATAAACAGTCGTAAGTCTTTGTAAATAGTCATGAGCATTTTGGGAGTTCTGGTTGCCTAGTAGTAAGAAGCTATCTCAAAGGCATTTGAATCCACAAGCTGCTCTGCGAGAGCAGGATGGGCAGTGTACTCCTGTGCACTTTGCTGGCACTGCAGACCTGCTGGCGGTCAGTTGTGAGTCGGTTCTGACTGTGGCACACAGCACACATGAGTAATTACTAAGTGCTGAGTTCTGAGAAAACAGGCTGTGTCTGAGGACAAGCTGTTTGAGGAGTTGTTCTTTTTAGATAAGATTTTACTGTGCTCACTGCGGCAGCACATTTACTAAAATTGGAACAATACAGAGAAAATTAGCATGGTGCTTGCGCAAGGATGACGCGCAGATTCGTGAAGCATTTTAAAAAAAGACAAGAAAAGAAAAAATAGATAAGATTTTACTGTTTTCAGTGATAATTTACACAAGTGTGTGTGTTTTGTTTTTACAATTGATGAATGCCTTTTAATACAACTTCTCAGCACATCCTCACTGTACCTTGCCTTTCCCTTCACCCTCCCCATCTGTCCACTAATCTTGTTCCCTTCACCTTCCTTCCGCCATCCCGTGTTTCTGTGTGTAAACTCGAGCTTTGCTTTTCTGAGTCAGTCATGCATATCCTGTTCCACATTGTAAATTGCAGTACACACAATATCTGAGGGTCCATTCATTTCACATTGACCTTCCACAAGTTAGGCCTCCATTTAACAATTAACTGCACATACTGTTCAGAGACATTGGTTACATTTTTCACAGTGTGTTAACAGTAATACCCTTTTAGATGTCTAGCTTCAGGCATGTGATTTCACTGTCTCCCTACCTTTCAGCTTTTGTTTAGAATAATTGTTCACCACTTGAACTTGATCTCATAAGAGAGGGTGTGCAGTACATTCTGGCAATATCCTTTATTTGATGAGCCAGTCTGTTTAATTAAAGGGGAGCTGAGGAAGTTTTTTTGTTTTTGTTTTTGTTTTTTAATTTTTTTATTTTTATTGTATTATTTTTACATGTACCGTCAAATCAGATCTGACTGGTACAGGAAGAGATTGCCCCCTCCTTCTCCAGCAGAGCATCTGGTGGGTTTGAACCGCATACCTCTGGGATTGGGGAGCTGAGGAAGTTGAGCTAGCAAGTTCAAAGTTTATAGAGTGGAATCTCAGGAATCTTTTGTTTTGGATAAGTTATTGATGGGAGTTGTCAGACTGCCTCCTAAATCCACAGAGATAGTATCATTGTCAGGGTGGGAGAACACCTGTAGGGTGGGTGGAGGGGGTGGTCTCCTTCTCTCACTTGTTTCTGGTGTGAACCTGAGGGATGAGGTGAAACGTAGTTGGCCTTTGGGCTCCATCCTGGGCCAGGCATGGGTAGGATACAGGACAGAATGAGACCCAGCTTCTTCCAGAGCTCAGCACATCCAGACAGTGTGTTTTTGACATTTAGGAAAAGCTGCCTCCGCCCGCTCCCCCCTCTCCCTGAGCCCTGCTCTTGCTGCAGCGCGCTCGCTCAGAGCTCCGGCTCCTGCTCAGCTAGCGCCGCCGTCGTCTCCTTGTCGCCATCATGATCATCTACCGGGACCTCATCAGCCATGATGAGCTGTTCTCCGACATCTACAAAATCCGGGAGATCGCAGGCGGACTGTGCTTGGAGGTGGAGGGGAAGATGGTCAGTAGGACGGAGGGTAACATTGATGACTCGCTCATTGGTGGAGACGCCTCTGCTGAAGGCACCGATTGTGAAGGAATCGAAACCACAGTAATCACTGGTGTTGACATCGTCATGAACCATCACTTGCAGGAAACCAGCTTCACAAAAGAAGCTTACAAGAAGTACATCAAGGATTACATGAAATCACTCAAAGGCAAACTTGAAGAACAAAAACCAGAAAGAGTAAAACCTTTTATGACGGGGGCTGCAGAACAGATCAAGCACATCCTTGCTAATTTCAAAAACTACCAGTTCTTTATTGGTGAAAACATGAATCCAGATGGCATGGTTGCTCTGCTGGACTACCGTGAGGATGGTGTGACTCCATTCATGATTTTCTTTAAGGATGGTTTAGAAATGGAGAAATGTTAACAAATTTGGCACTTCTTTGGATCCATCACCTGTCATCTGATCTGTCTGCTGCTTTTCATCACCACACCAGGACTTCGACAAATGGGACTGAGATACCATCTTGAGCTCTCCATTTTAATTTTGACCTTCATTTATTTGGAGCGGAGGCATTTTTTTTAAAGGGAAAAAATGTCATAGGTTGTCTAAAAATAAAGTGTGTTTAAACTCAAAAAAAAAAAAGGAAAAGCTGCCTCTTCCTCAAGATGCCTCACTCAATACCACCTCACAATGGTCCCCTAGAACTGCTGCATATATCCTGTCCTCCTGCCTTCGCTGTGGCCTGTCAGGAAAGAAGCCCCACTTGAGCAGCACATTACTAATTGGAGCTTAGGCACCAGCCAAGGGGAGGCCAAGGCAGAAAAAGGGGATTTGTCTTAACAAGGTCCAGGAGGGACCACTAGTGGGGGGGATTCATGAAGTGTGCCAAGGCGAAGTTCTGCTCTCCTGTCAATCTACTCCTCAGGGTGTGGCTACAGGCCAGGGGTGGGTTCAGAGCACAGGCTCTGAAGCAGACAGACCTCAGTCTGAACCTTGGCTCTACACTGACCAACTTTCTGTCTTTCAGCAAGTTAATAATCTTCCTGAGCCTCAGTTTCCACCCTGTAAAGCAGAATCTACTCCATAAAGTTGTGAGAGTTAAGTTACATGTTTAATTGCATAGCACAGGGTCTGTCATGGAGCACTTGGAAAATATCGGCTGCTTTTATTACATAGTTATGGAGCTTTAGAAGCTTAGTGGCAAGGAATTACACGCTTACACAAAGGTACGTGGTTTGAATCCACCAGCTGCTCTGCAAGAAAAAGGTGGGCAGTCTCCTTCTGTGTGATTTACTGCCTTTGGAAAGCTGCTAGAGGGTGAGCCATGGGTCAGTTCCAACTCGACAGAACACAACAGCATTATAGTTAGTATCTTTTGTTCTAGTGTCCTCCACACTTCCAGTGATGACTGCCTGGCCCCCACACCCTACTCTAAAACAAGCCTCTAAAGCCTCACCCCCATACCCTACTCTAAAACAAGCCTCTAAAGCCTCACCCCCATACCCTACTCTAAAACAAGAAAAAAACCCCAAATAAACCACCCCCACTGTCCTTGAGTCTATTTCAATATTTCAGTTCTTGGTTTTTCTCCTTGGGGAGCCCAGGTGGCACAATTCATAGCAACTTGTACCATTAACCCAAAGGCTGAGCCTGTCCAGCAGTTTGGATTCCCCAGCACCTCTGAAGGGAAAAGATGGACCATCTCCTGTGTCATTTACAATCTTGGAAACACTATGTAGGGTCAATTATGAGCCCGAACCAACTCAACAGCCATGAGAGAGAGAGGCCCAAACAGCCATAACAAATATTTGTTGAATGAATGAAAGAATGAATCTTTTTGAAACTTTTTTTTTAGTTCTCAGCTTTGTTAGGATAATGGGACCCATGCCAGAATCTGGGTGTATCCTTAGAGCCCTTTTCCTCTGTTTTCCTGAGCTTTACAGATAGAGTGGCTCAGATCTCAGTAAAGAAACATTTGTATACTTTGCTGTCCCCAAGCAGACCAGGAAGCCTCCCTCTCAGAGGTCACGGGCATAGATTTGTGCCTGCAGTCAGAGAAGCCCAGCTTCAATCCTGTCCTGACCTTGGCCACTTCAGTCCCCTTTGCTGAAGATCCTTCTCAGCAGTAAAGTGGGAGTAGACATGCTTCCTGCTGTTCTTGTTTCAGGAGTTTAGTGAGGCATAGGATAGTCCTTTCTAGAACACTAGGAGTTAGCCATGCCCTCCGAGGAACATAGCTCACATCCTTTTGATAATTTTTAACCTTCCATATTGTAACCAATATCACTTGCTCCTCCTCCCTGGCAGTCGGAATTAGAAGCTAAAAGCGAAACCAAGCAAGAAAATTACTGGCTGATTCAATATCAACGACTTTTGAACCAGAAACCCTTATCCTTGAAGCTGCAGGTAAGGATGGTGGTGCCTGCCATAGGAGGCAGGGGTGGCGGGGGAATGTTTGCTGCAGGGGATTGGTGAAGTTCTTCTCTTAAGAAGAGGTTTCTCTACAGTACTTACCCATCTGTCTTTCCACTTGAATTTGACTCATTACTTGTGGCTCTAGTGAGGCAGGTTCTGTAGCAGGTCATGGTAGGGATACGAATGAAAAAGGGAGTTACCCTAAAGAAACCAGAGCCATAGTTTAAACAGATGTATGCATGCTCATGCTTATTGTTGCATTATTCACAATAGCATAGAGATGGAAATGACTCAAGTGCCCATCAACAAATGAATGGATAGAAAAACTATGGTACATCCACACTATGGAATACTACACAGCATTGAAAAATAATGAAATGGTAAAACATTACACAGTATGGGAGATCCTTGAGGACATTAGGCTAAGTGAAATATCTCAGTCACAATAGGATAAATACTGCATAATTGCGCTGTTATAAAAGTAGACAGACATGGAGGGACTGGGGAGGGAATGAAGAACGAGTGGATTGATAATGAACACTGCATTAGAACAGATGAGAGCAAGAACTGTCCTAAAAGAATAAATGATTATGCATTATATGTATGAGAACAATCTAGAACAAGGAGTGCACTACAGGCTGGGCTGGGAGAGGCGAAGGGAAGGGGGGAGAAAATGTATAACAATAATAGAGAAAAAAAATGTTAAATATAATAAAAAAGAGAGTGTCAGTGTGGTTAGAGGAGACAGTGTGGCAGCCACAGCTGTGCAGAGCAGAGACAGGTGAGCCTCAGACACAGCAGTGTGAGCATGGGCGCGAGCCGCTGCCCGTGAAGAGAGGCTGAGGAGAAGATAGGTGGTCCCTTACCCCCACCTCTCTCACATAATTTTTGTAGTTTTCATAAAATAAAAATTGAGTCATTCCATACATATTCTTTTAACAGCTTGTCCTTTTCTCTTACTCTTAGTCATAGACAGTTCACCAGGCCCACGTGTCGACTTAGCTCATTGCTTCCAGACAGCTTCACAGAATTTAGTATCTGTCTGAACTCATATTTATTTAAACAGCTCTTTTTTGATAGATTTTTAACTTATATGCCAAAGGGAGCTCGGTGGCCTAGTAGATTAGGAACTGTGCTGCCAATCAAAAGGCAGATGGTTCACATCCACCAGTGTCTCTGTAAGAGAAAGCTGAACAGTCCCCTCCTATACAGTTTACAGGTTTGAAAACCCACTGGAAGGTCAGCTAGAAATTGTTTCAACTTGACAGCACTCAATAACAACACACAGCACCGTGCCATAGTGTATGAGCAGAGCAGCAGTGACCAGCTCCCTGCATAGTGCATCCAGCTCTGTGCACTTGCATGTGTAGTTTTGTAGGAAAAGCTCTAAGAAAAGGGATGCATTTTAGGAGTCATGTTACACAGTTTCATTAAACCGTTTGTTTCCAGTTATAAACGATGGATTTCTTTCCACTCACAGTGTCTTTCTCGTGCCTTATCTTGCAGGAAGAAGGCATGGAGCGCCAGCTGGTGGCCCTCCTGGTGGAGCTCTCAGCTGAGCACTACCTGCCCATCTTTGCCCATCACCGTATCTCACTGGACATGCTGAGCAGGATGAGCCCTGGGGACCTGGCCAAGGTGAGACGTGGTAGCGCCTCTGGAGGGGGTTTGCATTGTAGAGAGCAGGTAGGGCCACCAGCTTCACCAAGCCCAGGGTTGACTTGTTCTTTGTGCAGTGCTTGATGACTGAAGGCCACCCTAAATCGAGGTCCCCAAAACAACTATCCTTCCTCCTCGCAGCTACCTGATGGAGCCCACTCACACTAGCTAAAAAAAATCCAAGGTGTGAGCCCTGCTTGCCCCACCTATGTAGACTGGAGCTTCAAATTATAGAGCTAAGACAGGTCGTTGGCCATGAGCTGGTTCAGCCCCTAAGCCCTCCTAGTGTTTTTTTAGAGGCTACGTCAAGTTTAAGAGCATAGGCTCTGGAGGGGACTCTCTGGTGCAAGTGGTGCAGCTCACTGTCAAGGCTTGGATGGCATCTTTGTTTCTCTAAGGATAGTGTAAACTATGCTGGAGAGTCCTGACTTCTTGTGGGGGATGTGGACTTCTTGTGGAGTGATATGACCTAACACGAAGGGGAAGCTGTTGGTAGCCTGGAACCGAGAAAATAGATAAATTGTAGCTGTAGTGCACATTTTCCTTTTGGGCTTCAGTTTCTTCCCCTGCCATACTGATTGCCGAACCTAGCCTGAGGAGGAACAGCTATAGTTACACTGCCTCCTGCTTCCCCTGGATCTCTGCTGTGCCCCAGAAGGCCTGCATTTCCAGTCAAAGGTCCCAAGCTGAGAAGTCAGGAGTGAAGCCGCTCTGTGAACCTGAACTTACTATCTGGTGGGCTGTTCTACACAGCAGAGCCCCAACCATGCAATGCCATAACTGCCTCTTCCTTGGACTAACCCAGGTGGGCATCTTGGAAGTTGGCCTGCAGCACGAGATCCTACGAAGAGTCCAGGAGCTGCTGGATACAACCAGGATCCAGTCAGGTATTGACACCAGACCCTGTAATTAAATTTAATCATCTGCTTTTAAGTCCTGAAGACTAGCCAAGTCCAGCCCCTGCTAATCCTAAAGGATAAGGATAGGGATTAGTGAGCCCATTTTACCACAAAATTGAAAAATAGACCAGAAAACTAGAAAAGGACAGGTTCTATGCAACAAAGCTTAGGAACTACACACCCAGTATCCTTGGGATAGAGGGAGAGCCAGCCCGTATCCAATGCCTACCTTGTACCTGACACTCCTGGGCCCTTTCTGTGGTCTGGACATGAAAAGATGTCCAAGATAAGTTGTGAAGGGGACAAAGCAGGTCACTAAGCCTGTCTGCCCCATACAGAGGTCCAGGTAAGGATTGGGTGCTGCAGGTGACACAGGAGCAGGCATGGGAGTCACTGGTCCCCTGGAAAGCGCTGATGTTTGCTGAACACTTTATGTGATCATCTCATCTAACCTCTCCTTCAGCCCCAGGAGGTGGGCACTCTTATTTGGTTGTTTTTCTTAAGTCTCTCTTATTTGTCTTTGTTTTTTCCTTTAGGTGAAATTTTATAAATCATATTGGTTTGTCATGTAATCATTCATACAGGTTTTGTTCTTTAACATTAATTACAACTGATCACAATCATAGCAGATTCAAATTTTTAAAATTTGGTTAAAGTAGAATAGTGACCAAAATAGGAAAAATTATAGGTTGAAGTCTTGGAATGGAAGACTCAGAAGAGGTGTAGTGAGCGCTCTCAGAGGCTCAACATGGAATACTGGAATATTGCCCAGACTCTGAAGAGGGACGCATGCCCAAAGCAGCATGGTCAGCAGCCTTTTTTGAGCAGGCCACCATTGTTTCTGACTCTTCTTTTCAGGAGGTTTGGTTACTATGCAACATGCACACTGCCTTTATTTTCTAAGAAGGAGATTAAGTTTCTAGCAGGGTGTATATACCCATGTATCCTGTTAGTGTTATCATTCCAGTACAGTTTTACAAATTCAGGTTCGTTCCAGTTTCCCTTTGTTGGCCATACTGAATAACTGACCTGGGAAGAACCAGTTTGAAACCTTGAATGGAACCCTGCCTTAAAGCAGGAGGAAGGAGATGCTACTTAGCTGGGAAGGGTAGTTTTTGGTTAGAGTAAAGGAATGGGGAAGGGACAAAGGCCAGTGGTAGAGTTACCAGGCCCGAGTTTGGCACAGCCTGGCCTGTATGGCCAGATGAAGATCAGGCCCTGTCCTGATTGCCAGGCTGACTACAGCACCCATATGTGCAGACTTCAGTTGTCCTGTCATGTATTTATACTACTATGGCATTAATTCAACCTGAAAAATGTAATTTAATTTCAGCCCTTCTAAATCAGTAATGTACTAAATAGATACTATCTCCCTAGCTGCTTAGCATGGATTCCCCTCAACCTCAGACTAGGAGAGTTTGGCATCAGAATTTAGATCTCACCTCCTCACCCTCAGCGAATACACCTCACATGAAAAGAGGTCACACTTGGCCCCTTCATTCTGAGCAAGGTGTTGGTTCCTCTGAACATTGTAAGTCAGAGGGCCTCTGCCTCCCGGACCTGGCTCTTCTCTCGAGCTGCAGGAGCCATTCCCAGCTTTGAGTGAACTAGCCGGTTTGGCCACTCTGTAACCGCTTCCTGTGGGAGGTTCTTCCCACTGCTCCTGACCACTTCCTGGTTGTGTCACTTATGGTGGCATCCAGCCTCCGCAGAGGAATGGGCTGGGACGGAGCTTTCCTCTCAGCTCCAGAAGGCACAGGAAGGCCTCACACAGTCTTCTGACCATCTTCTCATGTTGCTTAGGTGCCATTGTGTCAGTTCTGCTCATAGTCATATGTATAGCAGAATGAAACCCTGCCCAGTCCCACAGCATCCTCACAGTCAGTGGCATGTCTGAGCCATCTCAGCGAGGGTCTTCCTCTTTCTTGATGACTCTGTATGAAGCTTGATGTCCTTCTTCAAGGACTAGTCCCTTCTGGTAACAGGAGGTGACATCTTGCCATCCTTGCTTCCAGGGAGCATTCTGGCTGTGCTTACTCCATGACACATTGCTCACTGTCTGGCAGTCCATTAAGTATTCTTCACCAACCATAATTCAGATGCCTTAGTTATTCTCTGATCATCGCATTCGTTATCCAGCTTTTGTGTGCATATAAGACATTTGAAAGTATTACGGCTTGCAGCAGGCATACCTTAGTCCTTAAACATTTTTGCTTTTTAACACTTTACAGTGGTCTTGGCTGCTAACTGAACGGTTGATAATTCAAATTAGCCAGCACCTCCATGAGAGAGAGTTGTGACAGCCTGCATCCCTGAGTTCTAGCCCTAAGAACCCTGTGTGACAGTCCTGCTCTGTTCCACAGGGTCACAGTGAGTCAGAAGCTAGTCAGTGACTTTAGGAATCCGTTTGTCTCATTGTAGTCGAGCCAGGACTGACTCATATCTGAGTCTCCAGTGGGGTTTTGGAGGCGTAAATCACATGGAAGGAAATTACTCATCCTCCCTCAGAGGCACTGGTGGATTCGAACCACGAGAGTGTGCCGTGCTACCTCTGGGTTAGCAGTGTAACGCTCTACAGACAGTGCCACCAGAGCAAGCCCCTTTACAAGGATGGTCGTGTAGCACTTAGAGGCATGTCTAGTGTAGCACCTTTTCAAAAATTCTCTAAGGTTTTAAATGATACAAAAGAATATACTCAGAAAAGTCAAACCATAGAATAAATTAATACAGAAAAGATCAGGTGTGTGAGTGGTACATATTGCAGGAGTCTATAAAAAACAGAAAGACGGCATTTTGTCAGGGCTGCTTCTGATGTCTTGCTGCAAGGCCAGTTGGGTGGCCAGCTGAGGGTGCAACCTCAGGACATGGGGTTGGGACACTGCAGGTAGGGATGGGAGGGAGAAAAGCAGAGAGGGGGAGTGCACTTTGGAGGCCTTTTTAGCTGAGCTGGCCCTTCTTTCTGCTTCTTCAAGGCCTATGAACCTGTGAGATGGGGCTGCCGGCTCCCTCTCCTGTAGAAGCCCCGAGCCCTGAGCTGCTTCTGACTGTATAGTCAGGAGCTCTGTTACCTTGGGCATGTTACTCCCCTTCTCTAAGTCAGATGACCCATCTCTAAGGTGATGAGCACTATTTACAGAGTGGCTGTGAAGGACCCAGGGGATGTTATGAGTGACAGGTTCCTAGGTGACACAAACAGTGTATGTTCACCTTTGACCTAAAGCGAGGCAGTTCACCTCCAGCCAACAGCACTGTACAACAAAGGCCTGGTGATTTAATTCTGCAAAGATTATGCCCATTGATAACCCTGTGAGCATGCAGTTCTGTCGAGCAACACATGGTGTCACTGTCAATCAGAATCAAGCTGGTGGCAGCAGGTTTCATCTTTTTGGCAGCTACCCTTGCTGTTATGGCCTAGTGGTAAGGAGTTGTTCCGCCAACCCTAAGTCATGTGGTTCAAATCTGCTAGCTGCTTCTCAGGAGGAAGATGGTCACTCTTCTTCTGATATACCACCACTGGAAATCAGTTGGAGGGTCAGCTGTGAGTTGGTAGCTGGTTCCAACACCCCTCCTAGCCTGCCAGTAGGCCTATGAGATGGCAGGGCTGAAAAAAGTGTATTCCCATTTTACTGATGGGGATCTGTGCTTAGGAAGGAGAGCCCTCCCCTCAGCTCTAATCTGGGGACCCACTCCCTTCTTCTCATTGTCCACCTGGTGGCAGACCGGGCCAGGGGAGCCCTTAGAGGTACGATCATCAGAGGATGACCCTGATCAGCCTGTCTCTCTGGTCCTCACAGGACTGCCGAAACCACCCAAGGGTGAGGTCCCTGAAGCCCCAGAGCTCCCCACCGCCCCCCAGGAGCCTCTTGAGCCAGTGAGGCCATCGGCTCCTCCTGCCGAGCTGGAAGCACAGACCTCAGAGTGTGTTGTGTGTCTGGAAAGAGAGGTGAGTTCCATGGAGGGCAGGGGTCAGTCAGCTACGAGCCCACTGTCTACTGTCCTGCTGACCCTGAGCCTCCTCCTGAGTATCCCAAATACCTTTTCTGGTCATGTGAGTATATTGTGTTCACTAAGAATTCTGGAAAATAAAGGAAAGTGAACAATAAAGGAAATGAAAATTACCTATAATCACATGACCTGAGGATGAGCAGTGCCATCTTTAGGCCCTTTTCTTCTTTTTTTTTATTTTATTATTTTTTTATTGCATTATTTTTACGTGTACCGTCAAATCAGATCTGACTGGTACAGGAGGAGATTGTCCCTCCTTCTCCAGCAGAGCATCTGGTGGATTTGAACCGCATACCTCTGGGATTACAGTACATTATCTTGCCACTAGGCCGCCAGAGCTCCCTTCCTTTTCTTTTCAAAGGATAACTTCCCCTGTCCCCCTGAGTAAATATATTAGGGGAAATCCCCAGGCCATTGATGCCCAGCATCCTGATTTCCCCTGCAGAGGCTTTTTAAAAAACCGTCTTTTAGAAGTTATTGTGTTGTGTACCATCAAGTCAGAACTGACCCAGAGCTGACTCTCCAGTGGGTTTTCAGTGGAAGTTAATTACATGTGAGGAGACTGCCCATCCTTCTTTAACAGATCTGGGGATACTGCCGGATAGAGGCAGAAGCGAATCTGTGGAAAATTGCACCTGTGGCAGTTAGCTTAAATTGCTGAGCGATATCCAATGACTGGAAATAGATGCTGGGATGGTGGACAGAACCAAGGTGTAGGGGACTAGACAGGTGCACAAAAAGTGAAAACTGAAGATAATCTAATTGTCCCAATAGCAGGGGCTGGTTAAATAAGCTCACTCCTCCCAGAGGGAGTGATACCACACAACACTTCCACAGAGAGACATAGAAATGCAGGATGGGCATAGAATATAGTTCTACTATCTCTTTAGGAAAGAGTGGGAGACTGACTCCATGGCTGCAGCAATGCAGTGATGATGAGGATGGCACTGGGTAGGACTGTTCATCGGGTTGCTATGACTTGTCCTTGACTCAACGTCACCAAATAATAACAACAATAACACCCCCCCCCAAAAAAAAAGTGACAAAGGAAGGGAGGGAGAAGAAAGGAAAGCAGACATATTTGTGTTACATATACTTTTACAATATAAGATTTTTTTAGATGAAGAACACTGGGGCTGGGGTGCCAGGCGGGGCCAGGCCTCAGCTCTTCTCTCTTCTCAGGCCCAGATGATCTTCCTCAACTGTGGCCACGTCTGCTGCTGCCAGCAGTGCTGCCAGCCACTGCGCACCTGCCCCCTGTGCCGCCAGGAGATCGCCCAGTGCCTCCGGATCTACCACAGCAGCTGAGCGCACCCCCACTCATCCAGACTAGAGCAAGACCACCCCAACTTGCCCTGGCCCCTTCCCCACAGCCCGACTTCCAAGCATGCCAGGGCCGGAGGTGGGGTGTACCTGGTCTGAATACTGTGGATGATGAGAGGCAATCTTCTGGTTCCAGACAGAGCCCCTTCCAGCCAGGGCCAGGGTCATGGGCATAAAGCAGCCGGGCCACCTCTGAGCACAGGAATGAGTGTCCTGGCTGAGCTGGGGCTTTACTGCCCCCCAGCTGTGGGATGATGGGTACATCTCTGCACTTCAGGACCCTCAGTGCCCACCTCTATAAAGCCCAGGCAGGTGTGGAAGAGCAGGAGCCCTTGGCCAAGGTGCAGAGGTGTGTACGACTGGCATGCACGAGGCTGCAGAGTGGGCTCAGACATGCCAGCCCAAATGAATGTGTAGAGTGCAGGCCTTGGGTCACAAGCAAAGCCGGCCCCCTCCCTCTCTCCTATTCCGCAACACTCTGGCCCCCCTGCCTCTCCAATCTGCACCACCTCATATGCCCTGCAGCTTGAGGGCAGGCACTGAGCTTTGCAGACCCAAAACACCAAAGTCAATAAACATCTCCAGAGTGCTCCGACTTGAGTGATCGATGGGGCCGTGTGAGGCCTAGGCAGGAGCAGGAACCAAGGTCTAGGACAGCACAGGAGCAGCCGGAGGGGATGCAGAGTGTGCTGCACTTCAAACAGGGAATGAGGGCCTGGACAGAACGTGAAACTATCCCCACTGCCCCTCCTGGCAAGTGGAGACCTGAGCCCAGGAAGGGAAAGGGCACAGAGAGCCGGCCAGCAGCCCCTGTCCCCACAGGCAGGCTGTGCCGGCTCAGTGGTCAGTGGCCTCCCATTGCTATCCCAGGAAAGGAGTGGACCAAGAAGGCATCTGGGAGGCAGCAGTGCTGGCTGTGAAGCCCAGGCCAGCTCAGCTTCACACCCGGGTGCATGTGGAAGGGACTGGTCACACCTGGATGCTTGTTACATGCTTGTTACACATTTTATGTCAGATGGTCTTGAGCAAAATGCAGCCTTTTTCCTTTGGGCCAATGATGGGCCTGCCTGGGGTGCCCTGCTCATTCAGTTACCTGTCCAGTCAGTTTTGATGTGTTTGGACTTAAGTGTTCCATCCATTCAATATGAGCCTGTGGGGTGCTAACTGTACAGCTGCTGGCCACCATGGGCCCCTTCAGCTCCCTGCAGGCACAGGGCCCACATGAGCAGGCTAGATAGGCAGAACAGGCCTGGAGACAGCCAGATCAGTGAGTTCCAGTCATCCTGGGCTTCAGCTTTTCTACCTCAGTGGAGACCATTGGTCCTACTCAGCTCACCAGGCTGCAGAGCCAAAAGGCTAACAGATGCCCTTTCTCCCCACATGACTGATGGTCATATCACCCAATAGGGATGTTTCTCATCTGGTTGAAGGAGCAGGAGCAGCCCACCTTCACTAATGTGGGACATCTCTGTGCTGCGTAACTAAGGTTCACCATCTTCCTGCACCTCGGCTTATCCAGGGGTGCTAGTGCTAGTGCTGAAAGGACTAGCAGTCATATCTCCTGAAGTCAGCAGGAGGCTCCTGGTCCTATACATCAAGCTCAGTAAACACCAGCAATGGACAGGGAGTCTCTGAGAACATGCCTTGCCATTGAAGTTGGCATGAGTTTGGTACATGGGTTCCTGGGGCCTGCAGGACCATAAAGCTCCACAGGGCTGCCTGCAGAAACCACCTAAACTTTGTGCTCCATAACCTTGGACAAGTTTAATCTCTCTGAATTGCAGTTTCCTCTTCTGTTAAAAGGGATAAGTGAGACAGTGGACTTAAGAGTTACTTGGTCAAGCAAAGAGTCCAGAAGGCAGAGGTATATGCAGGTTCCTGGACAATTCTCCAGGCTGGTCACCCTGCAACCCTCCCACCGTGCACTTGGCAGCAGACACCAACAGACTGGCTTTAAATAAAGCATTTATTGATTAGTAGAAGTTTAAAGTTTGTATAATATTTTCAATACAATATATGGGAAGGATGATCAGAAAACCCCCAAAGGCACTTAGAGGAGAGCATCTGAAGATAGACCTTGTCGGGAAAAGTTAAATGATGCATTTAAGATTGGGGACCAAGAGGCCCTGAGCACCAGCCACCAGTGTGCACGCATCCTGTGGGTATCAGGCCTGCCCTGTGAGGGAAACAGAGGATGCAGGACAGGGGAGGGCAGGAGAGGGAAACTCGCCTGCCCGGGGACCCTGCACTATGAGCATCCCCTCCTGGTACACAAAGGGAGGAGGTCTGTGAAGGCCCTTGGCAGTATGGGGGCTGCTACAGCAGAGCTGTCTGGCCTTGACTCTCACCCCGAAAGGCAACAAGTTGAGGAAGAGGGCCAAGCCAGGCCTGGAAGTGACTCATAAGAACATTTTTAAATGGGCCCAGATTTTTAGGCCTGCCTCCACCAAATCCTCAGAGGCAGCCACCGTCTTGTTTTGGGGACCTGAGGAAGCCCCAGCCAGCTCCTTCAGCAGGCAGTATCTTGGAGGTGACCCAAAGATGACAGGATCCAAAGCTTGGGGAAACCTCAGCCTTTGAACAAGTTGGCCCTCTCCCCTCTTGCTGCTGGCCCCAACCCAAAGTATGCAGTGCTGGAGAAAGAGACCCTCAGATCCCTAGCAGGCCTCAGGATTGCTGCCAGCAACCTTCTCATCTGCATCTCGGCCTCCACATGTGTTTCCTAGAGCTCCTCACCTTCCTTCCCACTGGACACCTCCCTTCTGCAGTCTAGCACATTCTCTGCCTTTCTCATTTATAGCCCCTGCCCCCACCCTCCTCCATGAGGCATTCCCATCCCCCTCAGCATTAGCCTGGCTTAGCCTGAACACCTCTCACTCCCTGCCCGGAAGTAGTCCTATTTCAAAGAAGGATGGCAAGACCCATCCCTCGTGGGAAAACGAGGCCACAGCAGAGGGCAAGAAGCAAGGGACCTGGGAGCTCTCCCTGGCTCCTTCAGCTGTGCCCCAGCCCTGGCACAGTAAAGTCCTAAAACTAGACTTTACATGCAAGATCATCCAACAGAGAGAAAGGAGGTGGCAATAAAGTGTTGGCCAAACCCTGTAAAGTGACTCAGGGGGGCCCCTCCCTGCCCGACGTCTGAAGTGTTGCTCCTCCTGCCCTATAAGGCACAGATGCGATGCCTCCCTGCCCAGTACAACCATGCCATTGCCCTGGAGGGAGCATCCTGGTGCAGTGTCCCAACAGAAGCACCAGGGCAGATGGCTCTAAAACTCAGTCTGCACCCCAGCACTGTTTTCAGTGGTGGTGTGGATGGGGGGACGGCTGCTGGAACTGGACACCTGCTCCCCGGTCTCCTGGTCACTGGGCTTGGGAGGTTCAGGGTCCGGGGTCTTTCCAGATGGCAGATGCTGAAGGGGCGAGCTGGGTGGCAAGGAGGCCTCAGAGTCTGTCACAGGCTGTGGACTCTCTTGGGCGGGGGCTCCATTGGGCAGGGGGCTGGCCGGTGGGGGACTGTCGGCTCGTAGATCCTGGGCCAGCATGCCACGGAGTTCAGTGACACTGTCCAGGGATGCAGGTGAGAGTGGCTCAGGGCTCACCTCAAAGGGCAGCTCCACCTCATCGTCCTGGACCACAGATACCACCTGCTTGGCACGCCATCGCTTCTCCGAGAGGGTGGCACTGTCAGAAGCATCAGGGCGAGGACTGCCACTGCTCACATCACCCCCACCATTGCCACTGCCACCATACTCCTCACCCCAGTCGATGGGGGCGCCCTCTGACAGCAGGTGCAGGTTGGGGTCACTGTTGTGCATGACCACGCTGTCCCGGTACAAGTTGTGCTTCCTCTGCACAGCGGCCTCCTTCACAGCTGTGGGGAGAGGGGAGGAGGAGGGAAGTCAGCAGCCACCTTGCAGCTCCCAGCTGAACTTGACCTCCCAGCTTGTCTCCCTGGGGAGTCTCTATGGTAGGGAATTGACTTGTCCAGGCCTCACCACTGTCACCATAACCCATTGCCGTGTCACCCATCTGACACTCCCAACAGTGCCCACCATACTGCCCCCCTATCATCTGACAACAGTAGCCCCGTGTCAGCAGTGAGGGTCACCACCAGCCCTCCAGGTCCCAGTGGGCGGAGCAGGTGCGTACCCTGCATGATGTCCTTCATGACAGTCTGCAGCACCACCTCCTCATACGTGTTTTCCACCAGGATGAACTTGTCAAAGTCCTCAAAGATCAGCTCTTGGAACCGAGGCAGCTCCTGCCAGGGTGGGTGGGGGCCGAGATGGGTGGTGGTCAGAACCATGCCGAGGACAGGGCTGCTGGCTCTACTCAGCCAGGCACTACATGATCAGAGGCAGCCGGCGGGCGGGTGGGGAGTGCATACTCACCGACTTGCAAGTGGGGGCCAGCTTCTTGAGCAGGAACGGGATGGTGATCTGTAGCAGCGCCTCCCGGAAGAACTTCTTGCGTACAGAACTGCTGTCATAATCATATTTCTGCCAAGGAGGATGGCCGTGGGGTCAGTGGTGCCAGAGCAGTGGGCCACCAGCTCCCAGCAGAGAACTCAGGGCTCTGATTTTTTATGTCTGTGTCTCTACACAGGACCAGAACGGCACTTCCTCACAGGAGCTGCTACCCCAGTGTCACCCTGGTGCCACCTCACGGGCTGAGCTCGGGCCCTGCAGGGCGGGGAGAGGCTCACCTTCAGCACCCGCTCTAGTATCCGCTGGATGGATTTGCACAGCTCCTCCTTAGTGGGCCCCTTCCCCAGCTCCTGGTGTAGGAGGGTCTCAAAGGTGTACACGGCGTTGTCCATTTGCTGCAGGTGACACCACAGAGCACGTAAGCCCCAGAGTGACCACGGACAGCCCTTTGCACGGGCCTCCGAGGAAACTTGGTCAAGGCCCCCCAGCCCGCCACCCCCTTACTCATGTACTGAGTGTCTAGAACGTGTCTGGGGCCAGCCCCTCCTTAAAAAAAAAGCACCAGGAAATACAGAAGCCTGAGCCTCATGGGAGTCAACAGGAGGGGTCATGGGGGAGCTTCCTGAATGAAGAGGGACAGATGCTCCAAGCCGATGGGAGCATAGACAGGGACCTGAGAGGAGAGGCCAAGGATGGGTATGGTGTGTCGGGAGGACATGCAGGGGGACCCTGGGGGACAGGGCCTCTCTAGGGTATATCTGGAGTGCAAGGGCGGTAGTGAAGGCCCACCTCACGCATGTGAATCTGGGCTCGCTGCTTAAACACAGCTGTGCTAGACACGTCGAAACGCTGCTGTAGCCCATCGAGACGCAGCGGCTCCATCTTCTCATAGCAGCTCTGCATCTTGAGTGGGTGGAAGGCCAGCTGGGACAGCTTCTCCATGTACTGCAACAGAGTGGGATGTGTGAGGCCTGAATGGCCAGGCTACCGCACGGCCCCTCCCTTGCCAGGGCCATGGACAGAAGAATGGGGGCCCAGAGGCAGGCACTGCACAGTGCTGTGCAGAGGAGCTGGCCTGCTGTGGAGAGAAGAAGGGTGTCTGTGCCCTCTTGGGTGCTGAATGACCCTAAGTCACTCACCTCTCCGAGCTTTTATTTCCTTAACCTCAAAATTGGGAGACAGTGTTTTATGACCTCTAAGAGGCTTTTCTGGTTCTCAAATTCTATGAACATTGTTCTCTGGATACCCCAGATGTGAAGAGGAGACTGAAATTATTACAAGGTCAGATTCTGACAGCTCCATGGGCATCCAGGCAGCCCACAAGCCCAACATGGGACTGGTAGTAACACGTTCACTTGACCTCTCAGATAATGGCAGGCAAGTAAGAAGCCATTTGTTCCATCTGCAGAGTTACGTCTTGAGTATAATTTTTTAGGCTGCCTTGTTGCGATACTACGAACATCTGAAGTCTGTCATCTTTTACTCCCTCCCTAGCTCCTTTCCCCATTACTTTCTCTATCCTTTTAATTCTTTTATACTTTCTTTTAAATCCTACTTAGATACGAAGACTGAAGGCAGGGTAACAGTCTTACTTTCCTCGGACTTGCTACTTGGTTCATGACTCTGACCTTTGGTCTCCAGGTATATGAGAGAGAGAGAAGAGGGTCCTGTGGGAACAGACCCACCCCAGCCCATGGCGGCCCTGCCTGGGGCATCCTAAGGGATGTGCGGAGCCTCACCTCGCCCAGCTTGTCGATACCGCCTTCGTTGATGACATTCAGGTTCATGTCGGTGACCTCCTTAAAGAAGACGTCCCGCACCTCAGTGAAGCCCTGGCTGGTGGGCACCATCAGTGCCTCCAGGATGGACGGGATGTAGGGCTGGACGTGGTTCCGCACACACACCTCCGCCTTGGGGAGGATGAAGGCTGCGCCCGGAGGGAGGACAGGTTGGTAGAGGATCTCCAAGGTGGTAGCCGCACCCAGGAGCACCACCCGGCCCGCCCAGAGCCCGGGTGGGCCAGAGGTCTGGTGTTAATTTGGTTTGTTTTGCTTTTTTTTCTTTGTATTCACTTGTCTGAAATTTCTATACCCGAGCTCTGTAGAAGGTGCAGAACAAGGCCTCAAACCATTTCAACACTGCTCTGGTACGCACTGTGGGAGTGCACAGGGCCACTCCAGACCCAAGCATGCTGGAGGCTTACAATGCTGTAATGCTTCCCAAACACAACCACACCGGTGACAAGATTAGTAAGCTTCGTAGTCCTAGAGAGGTACTTGATCATAATCCATCTGGTAAAAGTAATAGGGTGTTCTGCGATTGAACACAGATCTTTCTGAAACTGTCATGGAAAATAGCTAACCAAGGAAATAGCTAGTCCAAAAGTGTCTGAAGCTTCCAAGTAGTGGAGAAAAACTCATCTTTGGGGATCCTGCTCCTTTGTTTAAACAACAAAAACCCAGCATACTTCAGTGGATTCATTGAGCTGCTTGGTTTTGCAAAAACTGCGCCACATTCTGTTTCTGGAATGGTGGGTAGGGCACAACATTGCATAACTGTGCAAAAGGCTGTCTTCCCTGTGGCAAGGGACCATCTCCGGGACATGCTTCCCAAGTCAGTCTTACGTGGCCCTCTCTGCCTAGTGGTTTTTGTTTTGTTGGTTTTTTTTTCAGCCTAGTGTTTTGATACTGCTCCTCTCTACCCAGCTCATGCTGTTGTTCATAAAAATAAATGCCAACTCTCAGTCTCCTGTCCAGCTCACAATGACCAACTTGGAGAAATCAGCCCACAGGAAACTGTAAAATGCGTAATAGATGACAAACAGCTAAAGGATTTCATTTGTCTGGGAAACAGGAAGAAGCATAAACTGAACTGAAAAGCTTAGATTTGCTGAAGTAAATCATGACTAAATTAAAGTGATGTCTTCTACAGTCACACATGGCAAAACCATGTGTGATTAGCTAAAGATGAACAGAAGACTGAAACCTCTGACAGAAATGTAGGTCTTCAAAATATAGTCTGTATAAAAAGGGGGAAATGCAGAACATAATTTTAAATTCTCATGGACTTGAGAGTTTCTGGAGCCATGGAGGCTGGATGAACCCCTGAAACCATTGCACTAAAATAATCTAAGTATGAAATAAAATATATTTCCTGAAGTCTTCTTAAAACAATAGTTTAGTTTAACTAGAAATAAATGCCTGCTTTAAGCATTCTGCTCTTTTAAGAAACTTCTGGGGAGCTTTGGTGGCCTAGTGGCAAGAAACTGTGCTGCAATCTCAAAGGCACACAGTTCGAATCCACTAGATGCTCTGCCAGAGAAGGAAGGGTCATCTGTGCCAGTCAGATCTGATTCAACGGTACACGACCAGAGGGGGAAAAAAAGAAACTCCTATATGGGATCTAAGTGACAACAGTAATTCAAAAGATCAGATAGGACCATTAGTGGTCAGTGAACTGATGTTAATGCGAGAATAGCTCAGAAAAGGAGGATAAGAATGATTGCACAACTCAAAGAATGTAATCAATGTAGAAACTTGAAAAATATTCAGCTCATACAGTAGGCTCACAGAACAACTCAAAGTGGTTGGAGAAACAGCAGCTTGAAGCTGACTGATATTTTAGGAGCAATCCAGGAGCTCTTTTGTGAAATTTACATGGAAAAGAATTCCGCCTGGTCTAGGCCTCCACCAGCATCCTGGGTGGTGCAAACAGCTGTGGTGCTCAGTTGCTAATCAGGAGGCTGGAAGTTCAAGTCCACCCAGAGTCACCTCAGAAGGAAGGCCTGGAAATCTACTTCAAAAGTCATGGATTGAAAATTCCCTGATGCACTGTTCTGCCCTGACACATTGTCAAAAATGACTCCATGGCAACTGCTCTTTCTTGGCCTTCAGCAGACAGAAATGAGCCGTGGAGGGCCCGATCCACAAACACAGGTGAGGCAGGTGGCCTGCTTACCCCGGATCTTGTTGGCCAGGTGCTCCTTGGAGGTGATGATCTGGTCCATGTCCGTGCGGATAAAAGCCTCCATGGCTGGCCGGGCCTGCTGCAGCTTGGACAGCACTGCTTCAAAGCGTGCCTTGGCCTGCTCATACACTATGCGGTACACGGCATCTGAGATCTGAGGGCGGGGCCGTGGCATCAGCACCAGGACTGAGGGCACAGGGACAGCTGCAGATCCCCTGTCCTCATCGCTGGTCCTAGGCCACTCACCTGGATCCACTGCCGCTGTCGCTCCTGAGGTTTCCCCTTCAGCCGTGGGGCAAGCTCAGCCTTCAGCTCAGGACCCAGCTCCTCCATCACCAGGTTGCTGAGGATCTAGGGCCAAGAGACACAGACTGGAGCAAGGGCTGGAAAACATCCAACTGGAACATTCTCTGCATTCTGGAAGCCCAGCCACTCAAAGCCCCGTGGCTTCCCCAAGTCCCCTGTGCTCTGCATCTCCCACCACTCTCCTTCTGCACCCACCCCCAGTTCTCAAACTGCCCCCTGGAACATCCTGCAGAATCCTTGGGCCCGGAAGTCCCATCTCAGGACCACTGCACATGCTCCTCACTGTCTCTAACACTGCACCTCTCCCCCAGCCTACTCTGCCTGCAACTGGAACAGCGTGTGTGTTTATTGGCTGAGTGTCTATTTCTCCTGCAGACACAGAGCCACCTGAGAGCCAGGGTTGAGCCTTTCTTGTTCCCAGCTGCACTGGCACCCGGCTCAGGACAATAGAAACACAATAGAAAACATCTCCACCTGGATAAACAAAACTGTGGCACATACACAAAATGGGACACTAGGCAACAATGGAAAAGAACAATAAATTTGCAAAACACTACAAAATCCAGATAAACCCACAAATATCAAGAAAGAAACACTCTTTGATGGTTACCAGGAATGGGGTTAAGGAGGAAAAATCACTAGTGGGATAGTAGAAACATATTCATTTGGGTGAAGGGAAAAGCAATACACAATAAGGGAGAGGTACAAAACAATTTCACATTGCTTGGATCCACAATCAACACCTTTGAGCCCCAGCAGTCAAGAAATCAAAAGATGTAATGAACTGAGTAAAATCTGTCAAAGACCTCTTTAAGGTGTCAAGGAGCAATGATGTCAGTTTAAAAACTAATGTGTATTTGATTCAGGCCATGGTCTTTCCAATTACTTGCTATGCATCTGAAAGTTAGGTGATGGCAGAAGAAGAATCGATGTCTTTGATATGTGGTGCTGGAAAAGAGCACTGAATATCCCATTATGTGTTGAGAGAACAAACAAGTGTATCTTGGAGAAAGTACATCCAGGGTGCTCCTTGGAGGCAAGGAGGGTGAAGCTTCATCTCATATATATTTTGGGCATATATTAGACGGGGCTGGTCCTTAGAGAAGGACATCATTCTTGGCAAGACAGGGAAGGAAGACTCAACTCCATCTAGTTGGATGGAATGACACAGTGACTGTAACTATTATACTACAGAGATATCAGAGATAAGGGGGTTGGCACAGGATAGGGCAAGGTTCACGTCTGCTATTCATGGCGTTGCTATGAATTGCACTCAATAGCACCTAACAACTAAACAATATTGCTAAAGCGAAGTGAAGCACTGAGTGGTGCACAAGGTACAAACAACAAAGGTAAATTCTATTACATATAATGCTGTAAGACCAGTAACAGCAAACAATTTACAAGTAGACACACAGGCAGACATGCAAGCCAAACAGGTATGCAAGCGAACAGGACTACACCTCTGAGCAGGTACAGGTTTGGTGGAATAGACTTCTACATACATACTTGTATGTGTTAAAAACATATCATCTATCTGTCAAGCAAACATTGGGGCAAAGTTAGGAAAAATTCTTAGCCTAACCAAACACCTTGAAAGAATGGGGCTGGGGGGCGGAGGGGAGTGGTGGTTCTATAACTACAGTCCTGGGGGACAGTTAAATCAACTAGCATCACTCACAAAGACAATGTCTTACATCCTACTGTGGTTGACTAGTGGCTTGAATCTTAAACTAGTATATGGCCACCTAAGATGGAACTATTGGTCTCTTCCCATCTGGAAGGGAAAAAGAGTAAAAAGAATTCAAGACGCAGGGAAACATTGCTGTCTGGTCGGACCCAACTCATAGCAGACCTTCCAGCAGGTTTTCTGAGATTAGAAATCACATAGGGGGAACTTGCCCACCTTTCTCTCTGAGAACAGCTGGTAGATTTGAACCACATGTCTCTGGGTTAGCAGCACAGCTCTTTACCATGAGGCCACCAGAGTTCCGTATAGGACTAATGGAGCATGCAAATCATAGCTTCCACTATCCTGAAGCCAGAAGAACTAGTACCTGTTAACACTATGGCCGGGACTTTACAGAGTGAGAGAACAATGCAGAACACAATTCAAAACCATTAGAAAATTTAAAAAGACCAGACTTGGTCTGGTAGAAACTGGTGGAATCCCCAAGACTGTGGCCCTCAGACACCTCTCAAACTGAAAGGTGAAGCTGAAGTCACCCCAGAGGGTCATCTTCCAGCCAAACAATAAACAGGTCCATAAGTGAACACTTGTAAGGAACACCCTCCTCAGGACAATTAACCACACAAGAGCCAAGGGCAGCACTTGCCCCAAACAATCTCAAAAGACAAGGGAAAGACAGCAGGAAGAGTGGATATGGGAAATCCAGAGAGGAAGAAGGAAGAGTGCTGTTACAGTGAAAAGACTGCAACTAATGTTAGATAAAAAAATATGCATTAATTGTTGAATGGATAACTAATTTTCTCAGTAAATTCTCACCCAACTACAATAAAGGAGAAAAAGAAAAGTCTCCACCTGGGTGATCCATCTGGGTTCCAGCTGCTCCAAATCTGATCTTGCTGTCTCAAGCCTACAGCTCCCCAGAACCCATCTTAATGCCTGACCACCCTCTGGACCCCAAGTTCAAGTGGGGCGCCTTCTGCATTTCCTGGTTCCTGCCTCACCTGCACCTCGTTCCCACACAGCATCTCCCAGGTGCCATACAGCTCCTTGGACTGGCGGTACATGCGGATGGCATCCGTGAATGCAGGGCCCTCCACCTTGGAGTCCTCGGGGATCCCTGTCGAAGATGGGGAGAGAGAAAGGAGTCAGCATGATGGCCCAGGGACCTCTACCCTACCAAGACCCAGTGACTGGCCAGACCACACGCACGCACCCATGATCGCACCCCTAGCCCTAACACACATCCAGAGAGGTAGCTGTGACTCCCACCACCCTGACACAATAACTGTAGCAGCCAGGGCTGCAGTGACAATACTATTCCATCAACACTCATCCCTGCCACTTGCACCAACAGTCAGTCCTCTCTCGTGTCCTCATCTCCTTGAATCCTTCCAAACACTCACAGGCACTATTGCATGGATGACTCTACAGTGAAGAGACACAGGCTCTGAGGCCTTACAAAGGCAGTTATGTGGCAGAGCCAGGATGAGAGCCACCCCACTACCTTGGGGGAGCCTTCAGTTCCTCATTCAAGTCCTGTTCCCTCCCTTCACTTTCTAGACCAGCTATCTTCAAACTTTCCCTGTAAAGGGTCAGATAGTAAATGCTTATCAGATCTGCAGACAAGACACCTCTACTCAGCTGTGTGACAGATGGTCCTCAAGTCTTCCATTGGTTTTTTTTTGTTGTTGTTTTTTCATTTTTTTTTAATTGTTTTTTTATTTTATTGTGTGCGTGTACCATCAAATCAGATCCGACTGGTACAGGAGGAAGATTGTCCCTCCTTCCCCGGCAGAGCATCTGGTGGATTTGAACCGTTCGCCTCTGGAATTGTAGTTGCAGCTCCTTGCCACTAGGCCACCAGAGCTCCCCCCAAGTCTTCCATTGTTGCATGAAAGCAGCAACTGACTGAAACCTCACTTAAGTAGGTGGTAAACCAAGTTTGGCCTGAAGGTCACATATGGGAGGCAGTGCTATAAACTATGAAGTTCAAGTTCAGGGTCCCACTGCAGGCCCCCAGCATGTACTGCATCACATTCATTTGTTATTAGCAACTGGAGCAATGAATTGGTTCCCACTGCTTCCCCTGCAGGCCCCCGCAGGTGCAGGCTCTGTCTTGTTCACTGCTAGGTGCCCAGCAAGGGCCTGGCATGGATTTTTGTTATTGGTGGTGATATTGTTATTGTAGTGTGCCATTCAGTTGGAATCATTAAGAGCTGACTGTTCAGTGGGTTTTCAGAGGCTACAAATTACCTAGGAGACTGACCATCTTTCTTCCTAGAGCAGCCAGTAGATTCAAACCACTTGCCTTTGGGTTGGTATTGCAACTCCTTACCATTAGACCACCAGAACTCCCTCTGGTGTTAATGTTTCAGATGATTATGTATCTCCATCCATCACGACCCTACCCATCTCACTTTCATTCCCAAGTCCTTATATGCCCTCCCACCACCTCGATTTTAAAGTGGGTCAATGAATAAGGGTTGGACCTTGAGATATGAGACTTGAGGGGAAAGTTGTGGGAAGTTGCAAAATCCACTTGGGGAAGAATGTGGTTCAACACCACCACGGCAGGCAGCGGGCGGTCGCCCTGACCACGTGCCTCCCGCGGTTGAGGGAAGAGGAAACAACAGTCTGTGCATCAGAAACCTCGACTTCCACTTCAATGACTAAAGGTTGAGTCACCTCCACAGAGAAAAAGCCCCTCTCTGGCGCGGAGAGCCCTCCCCTTCCACACAAGCTGAGCACGGCAACCACGCCTGCCAGACCTAGGAGCCCCGCAGTGTGGAAACCAGCTTCAGCCCCATCCTTGCCACCACTGGCTTCCTGGCGTGCATGAGGGGGTCCGACCCCCCACTTCAGGGGCTTGAAGTCAGGGGTGCTCCAGCAAGACTGCATGTGGGTGGATGCCTAGACCAGCGCATTTACAAGCAGCCTGTCCCATGTCTGGGATTTCCATTTTGCACAGCACCAGCCAGGTGTGCAGGTGGAAGGCAGGTCTGGCAGAGGAAATAGCGGCCCGGTAGCAGCAGGAAGGTGGGGACCCGTCCTGGCCATGGCTCCAACTGGCTAGCCATGCAGTCTGATGCCCCAGAGACCTTCTATGCAGCACTCTGAGGTGCCGAGTGTAATACTCCCTGGGCTCCTCCTCCAAGGCCAGCCCTAGCCTGAGCACTTCTAACAACTGCTCATTTAACCCTCAAAAGAACCTGGGGAGGGAGGAGCGGTTTTTAGCCCCACTTGCCCTGGTATGGAAACTGAGGCTCAACGAGGCTCCAGGACACACAGCTAGGGGACAGCAGCATCAGAACCAGTGACCCTAGTCAGGAGACTCCACGGGCCCTTTCTGCCCGTGGGATTCTAAAGGCCAAACTGATGAAGGAAAGCTAAATTCTCCCATCCCGGCCTGCAGCAGCAGGGGGTGGGGGGTCAGATGAGAAGAGGCCTTGACCTTGAATCCACACTGGCTCAGCCCTGCAGGGCTGAGTACCGCAGCGGCTTCTTGCCACCCGCAGCTGCTCCAGGAAAGCAGGATGTGACAGGGCTCTAGGATCAGCTGGCATCTAGCCAGATGAGCTTCACACCCCCGTTTCCTGGCAGCCCCCAGAGTGAGTAATTCCAGGCTCCACAAATTCCAGTCCCAGCCTCAGAGCCAGATGAGGGAGACAGCTTTCCCACATGCACGGGGTGGAGGAAAGGCCCATGCCGAACACCAGGCTGTCAGCCCACCCTGAGGTGAGGGTTCCACCTCTTAAGCAGAACACCCCAGTCCAGGATGTCCCCCCCTTCCTTCACCAACTCTGTACCCCAGCTCTTCGTGGCAACCAACCGCACCCCACACCTAAGAGGCTTCTCACAGCCTCCTGGTTAAGCACAGACTCTGTGCTAGGCCCAGAGCCAAGGCTTTACCCAAACCACTCGGTTATTCTTCCCAGTAACCCTGTGGGGTTAAGCTTACCATCCTTCCTATTCTATACAAGGGGGACTAAAAGGTGGCTCTCACCTGGACTGTCCCCACTTGCCCCTACTTTCTCCCTTCACCTGGCCTGCAGGCACCCAACCAAGCCAGCCTTTGCCAGTCAGCCTTGGAAACCCAGAGAGGGGGGCGGAGCAGGGTGGCATGGAGAGGGAGACAAGGAGGGAGGAGGGAGGGGGCCCCAAGCCAGGCTGCCAGGGCACTGGGCACCTCCGCCCAAGCACTGCCCCAGAGCCCCCGGGGACCTGGGAACAGAAGGCCCTTTGTGGGTGGGCAGGGCCCAGCCCAGGTGAAGACCTGGTTCCTCCCACCTGGCAGATTCCAGAAAGGGCAGAGGTGGCTCTGGGGCGCTAAGCAGGATGGGTGGGGTGGGCCAAGTCACCCCAGCTAGCCGGCCTGGCCTCCAGGTGCTGATGTTCACAGGGTCCACCTGCGCACTGGTCAGACAGAACTGACGCCCAAGGCGTGACATCAAAAATGACAGACAGGGCAGTTATAGAGGCAGCTGCCTGCCTCTCAGATTCCCTAAGGCTGAGTCACTAGGAACGAAGTTTAGGATCCAGAACAGGGTTGTTCCCTCCCCAGGGAGGTAAAGACCCCAGTGTCTCCCTTCACCTTAGGAAACAATAAGCAGCCTCTTGACAGAACTGCACCTAGCCCTACATGAGTTCACCCCAGCTCCCCTTCAGTATCATTTCAGGTCACTCCCACAGTTTCTTCTCTACACTATTTCTGCCTCTGTGGACTCGCTACATGCTTCCTGCTACCTCGGTCTGGAACACTCACCCTTCCCCTTGGATCTCTGACTATACATTCTTCAGATCTGAGCTGAGCCCTCACTTTCTCAAGGGAGCCTCCCATGATCAACTCCTCCACAAAACACACCCACAGGATCTGCCCTCCATACACACACATCCTCAAGTTCCCCAGGGTGGCTGCTGCTCCAGAGCAGAGCTGTGACTCATCTCCCCGGTGTCTCCATTTGCTTAACATCTGTCTCTCCGACCACGCTGCTGGCTGCAAGAGGGCAGGGACCACGTCTTACTGCCTTGTTGTATTCTCAGTGCCAAGCCCCAAATCTGGTTTAGAGTTGACACTAAAAATGTTCATTAATTGAATGAGTGAGCTGCAGAGACCTCATAACTTTTCTTCTGTAAACACTGAGGCTCTGAGGAAAAAAAGTAAAGTTACTTTCAGACTGGTGGTCAATAAATAATATCATGACTAACCTTTACTGAAGGACAACTAGTAGCCTAGGGGCAAGAAGCTGCCAGCTGCTTTGTCTAAGAAAGATGGGGAATCTTCTCCTGTGTGGTTAACTGCCCCGAAAACCCACTGGAGGGTCAGCTAAGGGTGGGTTCCGACTCAGTGGTACATAACAAAAACAACAATCTTTACTGAGTATTGAGTGGATTCTCACCATGAATCCTTATAAACCCCTAAGAAACAAGAGAGATTCTTATCCACATTTTACAGAGGTTCCAAGAATAAATCGGTGTCCTAAGGTCTCATTAGGGATCTCTGGTACTGTAGTCCATGGTGAGTTGTGCTATGAATGCAAAGACCAAGCTTCTCCAGTATTTCAAACCCACCAGGGCCTCTGCAGGACAACCACTCCCACTTACAGCCTGGGGAATCGAAGGGAGGGTCACTATGAGTCAGAGCCAACTCCATGACAGTGAGTCAGCATCTGAAGGTCACGTTAAAGAATCCTAGTGGCATAGTAGTTAACAGCACTCTTTTGAACCCACTAGTCTCTGTGTGGGGGAAAGGTGTGGCAGTCTTCTTCTGTAGAGATTTCAGCCATGGACACTCCATGATAGTTCCACGGTGTTCTACAGGGTCACTACGAATCAGAATTGACTTGACAGCAGTGGGTTTAGTTAAAGTCACGTTTCTAGAAACTGGAAGAATGAAGATTCAAATAGAAGGACTGTTCAGGGAACAACCTCTTCAGGTTTTTTGCTGAGCAACATAGAATCATGTCTTCATGAAGGAAGCAAGTGAAGAAGGATGGTAACAAGGGTTTCTCGGAAAAAAAACGTAGACCAGCACATAAAGCAGGGTTGCTGTGCTACCTCTGACCACTAGGTGTCACTATTACACACATTAGCCCAGTTTCCCGCTCCTCACGTCCAGCACACACGCTCCTCAGGGCCCTAAGGCTACTCACCATTGTTGCAGTGCCGGATGCAGTCCTGCAGGGCAGCCTGCCACTTGTCTTGCTCGGCCTCCGTCATCATGCAAAAGTAGTAGTGCCGCGCAGAAGGATGCCAGAGGATGAGAGGGAACTGTGTGGGGCACTTGAGGATGGGGGTGCTGCCTGATTTTGATGTGATCCCTGTGAAGACAACACTCACTGACCAGCTGCCTACTGGGGTCATCCTCAGAGGACAGCAGGCAGCTGATCTCGGAGCCCCTGCTCTGAGGGGCAGGCTCAGGCTCATGGCAGTTGGTCTTTCCCTGGGTGACAAGCAGGTCAGTGGGGGTCCTCTTTCTTGTGCTCTCTACACTTGGTGGAAGGAACTTCAGAATTCCATGGCATCTGTTTAGATGCTTTTGTTAGAGCTAGCAATACAGTAGCATCCACCTCCCTCTTGGGTAAGGTTTTAAATTCCACCATGTGAAGCACACAGGATCAGAGCTCTCAGAAGTTCAAAGGTCAAGTATTATCTTCTCAGATCACCCTTCAGATTCCAGCATAGAGGCCAAGGTGTGGCTTAAATGTCCAAGTAGGGAGGGTGGAATGGGGAGCAGGGGGTAAAAAAATAAATAAAAAGGCACAAGTTTTTTACTTATTTTGTTGCCATGGATATTCAGGCTCCAGCAAGATAACTGGTCTTGTGCCGCAATCTCACCACTGTTCTGTTAAAATCTAATGATAATAGTTCTTTGTGCATAGCTCTGCATGAGTCCCTGGTAGACAGAGTGTCTACAACCCCACACAGCACCCTGAGGTCAACAAGTGTGCAAATTGTGTAGACGCTGAAGAAACTGAGGGGCCACAAGGAAGAAGCCACTTGCACCAAAAAAAGCAAACAAAAAACCAAACCCCACAAAACAGACAAAGCTAGAGCTGGCTGGGACTAGAACCCAGGAACATCAGCATCCAGCAAGCCCTCCACCATAGGGGCTTTACTTTCAGTCTCAGTCTGAGGGTATAACCTTCCTCAGTCAGTATCTCCCCTTCCTCTTAGTTTCCCTGGGATCATCCAAGGCAGATATTGTTACAGATGGGCTGCTGAGGAGTCTGACAGGGTAGATAAAAGCAGAAATAACTCCTCAAAGGTACAGGGTTGACTCAAAGCTGGATCATCTAGACTGATCTCCCAGGAGTGCTGCAAAAACTCTGGGAGGTGGGAAGCACAAAGAGTGAGATCCTAGTTCCATCACTGCAGAATACACAGCTCTAGGAACCATGGGACTCAGCTGGGAGTCCACACGGTTCAGCCCCTGCTCACTGAGCAGTTCTGGGCAAACCCTTGGCTCTCATAGCTGTAAGGTATGAGGACTCCCCTTTGAGGTTCTGATGGTGCCTGATAGCAGCTCTAGTGCAATCTGGCCTTTCTGCAAACAAAGGACCCAGAGGTCTACTTTTCCCACAGTCAGCTCCCAGGACCTGTGCAATGTACCTCAGCCTGGGAGAAGAGATCCTTTACCTGGTAAGGAGTTGCCCACAAGCTCCAGGTACTGATCCACGGAGGTGAGAATTTTGTAGCCTGCGCTGTTGATGACGGCTCGGGGTGGGACCTGCCGCTCGTAGGCCTGAAAGGGGGCAACAGAGATGGTCCTTGGGGGTTAAAGATGTTATCAGGCTCAAAACCCATTCTCCCCTATGATCCCAGTGTGCATGACGAGGAGAGAAAAGGATAGGAGGATGAGGAGAGAGAGAAACAGAGGGAAAAGGAGAGAGACCTGGCCATTATCATGACTAAAGATAGCATCGCAGAATGTGCTAGATCCAGGCTCTGGGCTCAGAACCTAGCTGCTGTGGGTGCCACTGTAGTGACGGTGAAGCTAGAGTTCCAGAACTTCCCAATTGCAGTTTCTGCATCTATAATGCTAATAACAGTTCCTACTTCACAGAGCTGAGCGAGATAATCCACATAAAACATTTGGCACAGTGCCTGGCACACAGTAAGGAATGAGTAAGCTTTGTTAAAGTTGTTCTTATTACTGTTGTTATTATCATAGTTGCTATTACTCTTTATTAGCCTCTATGACCAGTTGAGTGTTTGTTACAAATCAGGTACTACACTAAAGGTGCTGCTGACTTCATTCCAGAATCCTCTCAATCTAAGAAGTGGGAGCTGTAATTGGCCATAAATTAACAAAGCTATTAAGTCAACGACTTGGAACACATGCCATATCCTGTCTGCCGACAGACCCCAGATTCTTTGGTCATTATTCTGAGTTTCCTACAGATTTCTTAGATTCTGAATATCACAGAAGAATTAAATCTGGACCCTACTTTCTTAAACCAGGGGGAAACAGTGCCTCGTAGAGCTGGACTGCAATGCTATACCCACCACTAGGTGTCGCTATTCAGCACCTTTCTTAAGAGTGTCTCAGAGCATCGAGGTCTCTGAATCAACAGCATCAATATCATTCGAGATCTATAAACTCTCAGAGTTGTCTCAGCAATTCTGTAGCAATCGGTTTTTAACAAGCCTTTCTAACGATTCTGATATATCATATTAGAAACACAACCCTGGGAGATGATGTTACTCCTGACTTCTAACATTGGTTTGCCCTAAAACAGAGGACTCTGCTTGGCCTGAAGAAACATGAGATAAGAGAAAAAAACTCAACCAGGTAGGGTTTCCTCAAGGGCCCAAAACAAAGACAAGAAACAATCAGCCGCGGCATTTTTCTCAAATCCTTATCTGCACAGAGTAGGGCGGGAGCTCATCAGGGAGGGATCAGGAAGGAAGAACATGGGACCACAGATGGGGGCAACAAAGCATTAATGACAGGGGTAAGCTGGGGCAGGGAACAGCTAGACTCATGTTTTCAACAGCTCAGTGGCAACTATGTGGGATGGGAGGAGCCAGAGGAAGCCCATCAAGAAAGAAGGCTGAGTTGGGAAGAGGGCAGAGGCAGGGTGGTAGGGAGGAGGGATCTGAGAGTGACTGAAGATGGGTAGAATCTAGAGTTGGTCATAAAGGGCGAGTCAAAGGGGACCTCTAGGAGCTGGGTGCCTGGACAGGTGGAATGCAATTCAAAGTGAAAACCCAGGAGAACAGACAGGGTGGGAGGAGGGGGAGGAAGGTACTGAGGTTCTGCTCTGCTCTTGATGACAGCCCATGGGAGATACCTCAGATTAGGGGTGAGGGGTGTGCGGTCATTTAAAAATAGGTAGTGGAGTCTGGTATTTTAGAGGTGCGAGTGTGCAGTGGTGTAGGGATGCAGTGTACAGTACTGTTGAGTGTGCAGATTTGTGGGATTTAGAAGTGAAGGCATGTAGCAGTTTTGGGGGTATGTGCAGTCATTAATGGGGCTCAGTCTTCACCACCCAGCCAGTGGGGCTCACCACTTTGCTGTCGTAAATCACCAGGCCATAGTTGTGGGGCACAAGGCAAAAGCGGTTCCTCCACTTCTTATTGTCCTCCTGGTACTGGAAGAGGTTCCCAGAGAAGATGATGCGCTCATCCAGCGGTACCTGAGGGGGAAGAGAGTACAGAGTGAGGCCAGAGGTCCCCCAATGCCTGGGGAGGACACAGCCCCTCAGCAAACCCCCCTCCCAGCCAGCAGCATCTGTTCACAACCCCACCAGACCCTCGCCAAGGCCCCTGCTGGAAGCACCCTTCAGCCCATTTCATGAGTCCTCACTGAGGCCTTTGTGACAAATCTGTATCTCAGCCATCTGACAGATGAGAAAAGGAAAGGAAGGCAGTGAAGGGCTTCCTCTGGGTCCAGGCAGGGCAGTGGTGGTGACAAAGATGCAGACTCCAGTCAGGACCAGAGACTTCCACTCTGCCCAGGTCACTAGTCCAGCAAAGTGCCAAGGAAAATCAGGGCAGATCTAGAGACTTTTCTCTGGACGTGGACACATCTCTCCGTCTCCAGGCCTCATGTCTCTCTCTTTGAGCCTCTGAAAGCTTGAACAGGTTAGCCCTGAGCTGAGTGATGGCAGAGAGGGTTACCGTCTGGGGGTGACTGACCCTTGACCAGTGACCAGGTGATGAGTGTGGACTCTGGAAACACCCAGACCTTTCTAAAAAGCCCTAGATCGGACTTCCAGATTTGGAGTTGGCCTGTCATGTACTTCTGGGCGCCTCCTTTCTGTCTCTAAAATGGGCACAGCAACAGCACTGACATCATCGGGCTACTGTGAGGTCTGTGGGAGTGTGACAATGCTTCGTATGAGTAGCCACAACCATTGCTGGTCACTCAGAGTCTGCGTCACAGTCCCCCCAGCTCTGTGGACCGCTTTTTGGTGAGATGGCACGTGGAACTAGCCCTGGTAGTGTCCACCTTGTGCAGCATTTCCTGAGAGGACAGGTCCGGAGGCCGTCTGGAAGGGAGCTAGGATGTCACAGTGGACACAGGCTTGCTCCTGGGTGGAGGGGTTTGGGGGAGTCTGACCCACCTGTTTCACAGCAGGTTATAATTATTCTACTATAAACATGAGACTTTGTATGGAAAGAATAACTTCATCATATGTAATAATGTTCTTCTTGTTATATGTCATCAATCTGGAATCAACTCATAGCTGACCCTCCAGTGGGTTTTCGAAAGCTGTATGTCACACAGGAAAAGATGGAACAGCTCATGGATCTGAACTGTCTGCCTTTGGGTTGGCAGTGCCACTCCTTAATCACTGTTGTTATGTGCTGTCGAGTCGTTTGCGACTCATAGCGACTGTATGTACAACAGCTCTGAACCCTCCACTATTCTGTGCCTACCTCTCCAACTACGCCAGACAATCCATCTCATCCAGGGTATTCCTCTCCTGCATTGTCCCTCTCAAGATGTCTCTCTCCAAGGACTGGTCCCTTCTTTGCAACATGCCCAAAGTATGTCAGACGAAGCCTCAGAATCCTTGCCTCTAAGGAGCAGCCTGGTTTCACCCCCTCTAGGATGAAGCTGTTTGTTCTCCTGGCAGTTCACAATGTATTCAATACGCTTCTCTAGCACAATCCATAGTTGTTATGTTCCATCAAGTCACCTGCGACTCATTACAACCCTATGTACAACAGCCCTAAACCCTGCTCTATCCTGTGCCAACCTCATGGTCTCTGACACACTTATTCCCATTACCCCAGTAACAGAATCAATCCATCTCATCAAGGATCTTCTACTCTTGCGCTGTCCCTCCACCCTCCTAACCATGATGTCCCTCTCCAAGGACCCGTCTCTCCTTACAACATGTCCAAAGTATGTCAGATGAAGCTCCAGAATCCTTGCCTCCAAGGAGCAGCCTGGTTTAACCTTCTCTAGGATGAATCTGTTTGTTTTCCTGGCAGTCCATGATATATTCAATCCTCTTCTCCAGCACCACAGCGCAAAGGCATCAATTCTCCTTCTAGGCCACATTCTCTTCACTGTGCTTTGACCTATTTCTGGGTCTCTTCACAACTGGAGTCAGGTGTGAGGGGCCCCTCTACAAGCTCCCCTACAAGCCACACCTCAGGTTCTTCTCCGTCTGTGTCCTTCACTCTACCCCCACCCTCACCCCACTGCATGCTTGTTTCTAGTGACTCTCCAAGGGGAAACGGCAAAACACTCTTGGAAAAATGAGAGCCCATTGTGCTCAAACAATAGGACCCCAGGACTGCTTCCTACCCGAGGATAAAAATATTTACAGGGAAAAAAAAACACAGTGCCCCCGAGACACACACACACACACACAGAGAGAGAGAGAGAGAGAGAGAGAGAGAGAGAGAGAGAGAGCTGTCTTTGCCTAAGTCACCAAGCTCCTGCTATGGGGTTTCTATTTAGACTCAAAGCCTATGCAAAACCCTGCCTTCAGGAAGATCTCCCCCTTTTCTAGAAAGCACAGTGCTCTTCTGGCACACTGGTAAGAATTCCCTCCTGAAGGCATCTCTGGCTCAGGTGCAGTGATGCCCACCCATGCCCACCCAGGGAAGGCTGTGCAGACCGACCAGAGTCCACTGTGCTGGCAAAGTAAAAAAGATCCACAACAACAAAAAAAGAGAAAAAGATCCTCAATCCACCCTCCACCATGTCCGCCCCCAGATCCTTGGTTGTCTGGCTCCAAGTTTATGTTTAATTTTTAGACTTTTAAACAACAGAGTCGTATTTTGATTGGCAGGACAGCAGGAAATAGACGAACTCGGCAGCTGAGGCAAAATATTTCTGATTCCACACGCAGCACTCTGAGATGTGTGGTGGGAATCACGGGTGAGTGGTGCCTCGGTCAGAAAAAAGGCCCTGGGTTCAGACAACTCAAATGACTTGGCTCCCCCAACACACCATGGGAATCTGGACAAGTGACTCCAACCTGAGCCTCAGTTTCCATATCTGTGAAACGGATCTTATCATACCACCTCCCTTAGAAGGAAGTCCTATAAAGGCTAAGTGAGCATTCCTGAAAACAACTGCGCCTACTATTACTACTTCTAGATGAGCGCCCATGGCCAGATGACATCATTAAGGCCAGTTTGAGTGGGAAAATGGGACCAACTACCCGTCTCCTCTCTGGAACTACAGGTGATTCTCTTACCCTTCTTGCTAATGTTAAATTCTCCTTTACAGCAGAGCATAAGTACCCCCTCTGGAGCTCTGGTGGCCTAGAGGAAAGAAGCTGCACTGAAGTCCTGAAGACATGTGGTTCGAATCCACCAGCACCAGTGCTCCATGGGAGAAAGATGGGAATCTTCTTCCATGAGGTTTTCTGCCTCTAAAAACCTGCTCGAGGGTCAGCTATGAGTTGGTTCTGGCTTGATGGCATACACTACCACCAAGCAGTACAGGTATAACTAATGTAGAAAGCCCTCCTGACTCTTTTCTCAGTTGTTGGGACCCGATATGCTGGTGGCATTCCTGTTCATTTGGCAGTAGTTCTGGCTCCACTTACAGACTGGAAGCAGCTTGCCTGGGTGGAGTCCAATACCTTCTTTCCTACCACACAAGTGTGTGCTGAACAGACACACAGTGGGAGCCCAGGAGCCTGGCTCTGGTCCTGCTTCCATCACTCTAGGAAGCCTCCCAAATACTCAGCTCCAGACCTTTGCAAATCTTGTTCCCTCACACTTCATTTCTCCTAACTAATGCTTCCTCAACTCTTAGGTCCCCAGTCTAAGATGGCTTTTCTTCCAGGAAGTCCTACTGGATCACCAGGACAAGGTCATGTCCCCTATCTGTGTCCAACCTGTCATTTCCTTCTGGCCCATATTTAATTATGTAAATAGCTGTTGATTGTGGGTCTCCCTGAGTGCCTGTGGGGCCAGCAAGGGCAGCACATCCCCAGGGCCTGACCAAAGTCTTTCAACATGAATTCCCTTGGTCTTGGATCTTAGATTTCTTTTCAAGATAATTTCTCTGTCTGGTCAGCAAAGAGGTCCCTCCAGAAAGACCTTGGAGCTTGTTCCTGCCATATGAGTGACTTTCCTGTTAATGTGGTTGTTGATTGTCCAGCTAGGAACACACTGTTCTTGTTGCTGCTGTTGTGTACCGTCAAGTCAGAACTGACCCACAGCTGACCCTCCATGGGTTTTCAGAGGCAGTTAACTGCACAGGAGGAGATTGCCTATCCTCCCACAGTGCAGCTGGTGGCCTTGACCTGTATGCCTTTGGGACTGCAGCACAGCTTCTTGACACTAAGCCACCAGAGCTCCCTGGGAACATACTAGTATACCACAACGCTTCAAATCCAGGGCAAGTGCTGGCTTGCTCTGACGGAAGCTGCTTCCATTCCCAGTCCTTATTCCCAGCCCCATTCCCTGCTTCCATTACCCAGGTCTCAGGGTAAATGAGCTTATTTTCAATGACTTGGTAATTGGAAGGGGTTAGGGAGACCTGGTGATGCAATGGTTAAAGTGCTTGGCTGCAAATCAAAAAGTTAACAGTTTGAACATGGCAGCCACTCTGTTGGAAAAAGATATGTCAGTCTGCTTCCATAAAGCTTTACGGCCTCAAACTCGACGGGGCGCTTCTATTCCGTAGGGTTACTTTAAGCGTTGGGTCTGGGGGGAGTGAAATGAACCCCACCCTCCCAGTGTGGAACACTCAGTTTCTTCTTTCTGTTTTGTTGTCTCACCTGCCTCCCCCCACCTCCACCCCCACTGCCCGCATCCTCCCCCTCCCTGCAAGGCTTCAGATCAGTTCAAACAAGTTCAGTTATGCTGACAAGGTGAAATTGGAAGCAGAACTAAATACGTAAAAAATTAGGTGAAGTGGAATAATCAGAACGGAAAGAATTCCAGATCGAAGTCCTGGAACAGGAGACTCAGAAGTAGAGGGAGCCACCCAGGTTGGCTCTCATCTTTGAGCCAGGCACTGTTGTTTCCCACTCTGCCAGTCAAGACTTAGTTGCTGTGTCCTTGTGTTCTAAGTGAGATTAAGTGTCTGATAGGACGTTGGCTCATAATTTTTCCCATCCCAGTTATCCTTCTGGTTCACTTAGAACCTTGTATTGATTTGGGTCTGTTCCAGTGGCATTTCATTGGCTATGACTGAACTGGAAAGAACTGGTTCAAAGCCCTGTCTTGCTGGGAAGCCTTTCATATAATCCTAGCTGGCTTTTCAAGCCCCATGAACTCACCACCCCCTCCACAAAGCTGTTCTGATAACTCTGGTCCATGATGACTAGCTGAATTCTCTGAATGTCATTTTCCAGAGAAACTGTGGCTCAGAGAGGTAAAGTCACTTGCCTGAGGTTACCCAGCAATTTAGGCCTCAGGCTTCCTTGTAGACACACTATCTGCTCCTCCCTTATGTACTGTATTTCATTCACTCCCTCACTCAGTACTCACATTACTATAAAGGAAGTATACCTATTTATCAAATGAGGAGATTGAAACCTGAAGATTAAATCAAGCCAACTAAAGAGGATTTGCACTCAGATCCACATGAATTTCCCATCAGAGCACAGGAACCTGAAGGCAGGCACCATGTCCAGCAGAGGGAGGCACTCAGGAGCCGACCACTGAGGTCTAAACTCTGTCCCTCCTTGGTGGCCTCAAAGCCTGACTACAGGCTGACCTGGGCGTCCAGGAAGACATTAACAAGTTGGGGTGAGAAAGCATGGCTGAAAACCAATCATGACAATTCAGCCACTGAACCCCATGAACCAAGGCCATCAGGATGATGGACCTCAGTATACTAGGATAAGCTAGGCCTGCCAGGAGGAGCAGTTGGTATTCTGCGCACAAGCCACTCAGCCACTTCATGGCCAGGTCTCCTGCAGAGGAGGTGGGGCTGACATCCTCCCTTCTCATCACCCTTCTCTCTGCCACCTACATGGCTGTTCAGAGGGCAGAAGGTGAAGGTCTCTAACAGGAAAGACCTGAGCCCTGAGACACATATGCCCTCTAACAGACATCCTAGGCTGGTGAGGGCTGGGCCACGCATCACTTCTGAGAAGCAAGAGTTGGCCTTCCACATATATATCCCACCACATATGCACATATACACAGGTTTTGTTTTTTAAGAGGAAGCAGCTCTTCTTTGTTTCTTATTTCCCTCTAATGGTTTTAAAGATCCTAAACTCGCATATGAGCAGGTAGCAAGACTCCAGGCTGCATCCCAACTCCCGAAGTCCTCCTCCTTCCCCTCATCCTGGCTTCAGTCACCCACGCTACGGCCACACAGACTTTGCCTGCCCGGCTCCTCCACTTCTGCCATGGGGGCTAGTTGTGCTGGCCAGCTTAGGGGGCTCCAAGTGGCAGCTGAACATGATCAGGAAGTAACCAAACACTTGATTCCCAGAACCGCCTCTCCACATTCCCCCAAGTCCATCCACCTTGTACCCAGCTATGCACAAGGTCCTGACCTAGCTCCTGACCAGTTCAGCCACACATCCAGCATGTCCAGTTTCCTGTAAGCCCTGGGTAGAGCTCGTGAGCAGATGGGCTCTCTTAAGAGGCTTTGTAGGGATTTAACTACAACTTGTAGAGAAAATGCCTGTATATAACATTGTTCAGACAACATCCAGGAGCATAACATTCTATTTCATAGAACATTATTCTGTCACATTAGTCTATGCTGATGTGATGACAATAGCCGATACTCATTGAGCACTTTTCTGCTTCTCAAATCTTTAATCCTCACACTCTCCCTGTGAGGACCTATTCTCTTTTCATGTTACTGTGAGTAAACTGAGGCTCTCTGAGGTGCGAGAATTTGCTCACGGGCAGGAGCTGGGCTTGAACTCACAGCTGTGGGACTCCAGATTCCCAGCTTTAAACTAAGGAGGGGTCTCCTACAATGAAGAAAGGACTAGGATGTGTCCTTAGAGACAAGGACAGCAATAAGAATGTTGCCAGCCTGAGGGCACATGGCAAGCTGAGGGGAGCACACCCCAAGCCTCTCACCTTTCTCCAGAGGAGCTGGGCCTGTGGCGTGCCGATGGCCTCAATCTCATGGCGCATGCTGTTGAAGAGAGCAACGCCATACTGGTCCTCATAGAAACGGAGGAACTTGGTCAGGATCTTATCTGTTTTCTCTGAAAAGGAAAGACACAAACAGGGTGGTGAGGTTCACATGGCTACTGGCAGGCATCAGTCCTCCCTTCAGGGTGCCACACTAGCGGGGCTCCAAATTCCCGCGTGTCAAATTGTTTGCACAAACATCTCATTTCCATCTGCACAGCATTCTGGCCAGAACCGTGTATTCCTGTGCATCACAGGCCAATTAACCAACTAACTTGGGAAGAGGTGAAGCAAATGACAAGGAAAACAGGCAACAGCCACTGCCAGGGAAACGGCCAGAGAAAACATGAAAAGCAAACAGACAAATGAAAATCTCCCAGACTCATTAACAGTCAAATACTTGCAACATTCCACACTCCTCCACCAAACTGAAAACTGAAAGCCAAACTCACTCTCGTTGAGTTGATTCTGACTCACAGGGACCCAGTAATTGTTGTTATGTGTCAGTTGAGTCAGTGAACCACAGCAGAGACCCTATGAACTCTGCCCTGTCCTGAGCCAGTCTCACCATCTCTGACACACCTGCCTTTATTGTCACAGTCACTGTGTCAATCCTTCTCATCCAGGGTCTTCCTCTCCTGCTCAGTCCCTCTATCCTTCTAAGCATGATGTCCTCACTACTCCTTCCTGGCAACATGTCCATAGTATATGTGATGGAATTTCAAAATGCTTGCCTCCAAGGAGCAGCCTGGTTTCACCCTCTCCAGAATGTGCTGTCCCTGCAGAGCAGAGTAGAACTGCAGTTTCCAAGTAAATTTTTACTGCAGTAGACGGTGGCATTTTTCTCTAAAGGACTGACAGGTGGATTTGAACTGTTGACTTTTGGTTAGTAGCTGACTTCTTTAACCACTAAGCTACCCTGTCAGACTGGCCAAGATGTTATTTTTGGCAACCATAGCTGCAAAGGATGTGGGAACCAGGCACTCTCAGTCAGAGTTGCGACTGAGTGACACTCAAAACTCTAGTGGTCCATTCTGAGCACATCTCTAGCTGATCTTTCAGTTAGCAGCTAGGCGTTTAACCACTCTGCCACCAGGGCTCCTCCTTTCTGGGCTACAAAGAGATAGAGAAGGATCCCTGTGAACCAACAAAGAGACAGTATCTAACCCGTGCAAGTTACTGAAGCACGTGGAGAATTTTGTGGCATGTGGATAAATTATTGATGTTCAGATATTTATGAGAAGACAGGTCCAGAAGGCAGCACACCAGACTCTTAAGAGCAGGACCCCTGGGTGTGGAGCTGCGGGCTACAAAGCCAATTGCACTTTTGGCTTTAATTACTTTTATAGCATTTGAATTATTTTACAAGCATGACTCCTTGTATAATTAAAAATAAACATTCTAAAATTAGCTCATCCACCAAGCTGACAACTTTTTCCGCTTTCACTCCCGTTTTGCTTCTCTCCTCTGCCAGAGCTGTTTCTGACAAGGGAGGTAAATGCTGTGGCTTCCAGAGCAAGCCTGGCATGCATGTGTTTAGGCTGTCTTGGCATCTTTATTTATAAATGATGACACAGAGGCTCATGAAGACTGAGATCCATGATGAAGGCTTCTTCCTCCCTTGGTAGAGGCTTCCTGTCCTGAGAAGCTGCAGCTGGGGTCCTGACCTGGCTTGCTCACCATCAACGCCCTTCTCTGGGCCTCGATTTCCTGCCTGCACACCAAAAGGACTGGAATCAGTGGTGGATGGACCCCATTATCTTCAGATTTTGAGGACCTGGCCTCTCCTCAAATGGGAAAAGGCTGTGTAACCTCAGGCCCTCCTGTTGACAGTTTCCCAGTACCAGGAGCACCCAGCTAGGACGGGTTTTGTTTCATCTTCTCAATAGCTCAATCAATTGAGGGCTGATAGTGCACCCACTTCAAAAAACAAAATGTTTAAAAAGCTGTTCCTGGGAAGCTCTGGTGGCCTGGTGGCAAGAAGATGAGCTGCAATCCTGAAGGCATGCGGTTTGAATCCACCAGATTCTCGAGAAGGAGGGGCAATCTCCTCCTGTGCCAGTCAGATCTGATTCAACCATTCACAACAAGGAAAATAAAAAAGCAGTTTCTGTCAAGTCGATTCCGACTCATGTGGCTGAATAAGGGCAGAGTACAAATGGATTGCTCTCCATGGGGTTTTCAAGGCTCTAATAGACAGCCTTTCTGTTAGTAGTGAAACCCTGTACCACTGCATCATTCAGGCCCCCTCCACAGAGGAAGGAATGGGACCCAGAGTGGTTAAGTCTCTGGCACAAGGTCACACAGCTAGTGGGCCACAGAAACGGATGAAATTCTGGGCCCAGCAAGGAAGTAGAGGCTGGGGACGAAGGCTTAGCCTTGCCACTGCCGGCAACAGAGACAGTGTTCCTGGGTCCAGGCTGAATTTGATGTTGCCCACACCCCCATTGCTGACCTCAGTGAGAGAAAGGGGGATTTACTCTATCCGGGCACCTCCCTTTCCCTCTTGGGCCAGATTCCCATTTGAGTGGAGGAAGGGAAGAACAAATGAGGAATTTGCTTTGAATGCCTATTTTCCAAAACCCATAAACAACCAGAACTCTCAGAGACCTTGAGAATTGTTTTGAAAAAGTGATGAGGCAGGGTAGGGGGTAGGGTAATGACTTGGGGCCAGGAAGAGAAAATAGGACCTGCAGGAAACAAAAGATATTGTTTATGAGTGTAACCCCCAGCCAGGAGCCTCTAGTGGTGCAAACCATTAACTCCCCAACTGCTCATGGGAAGGTTGCAGGTTTGAGTCCACCCAGAGTCTCTTCAGAAGAAAGGCCTACTGATCTGACTCTAGAAGGTCTGCCATTGAAAGCCCTTTGGGGTAGGGCACAGGTCTAATCTGACCCACGTGGAGCTTTCACAAAGGAAGCCAGGCCTTGGGGAAGTTCCACAAGCACAATTCCAAAGAATCTTCATGAAAGCTGCAGGGAGGTGGTGTTCTTGTTTTTCTGTTTTAGGGTGAGGAAGCTGAGAGGCACATTGTCATGATCAGGATTCTGCCCTGGTACTAAGTGGGCACTAGCCACTGTGGCCAGCAGAACAGGCAAGACTCCGCCTAAGAAACAAAATGTAGACTTGGGTCCACTAATCTCAAGTTCCCATCAACCTCAACTCTGGAGGACCAGACACTGCCCTGCTGTACACACCCTCAGATCCAGCCTTATTCCCAACTTGCTATGACAGCCACCCTTATCAGGGAGCAGCCCTGGACGGGGCTGCCATCCTGCATCAGGACTTGAACCCACCCAGGTCTGAGTGACAGCACAGCACACTCAGCTGCCAGTTCAATCGTTGGGGCCAGCACAGCCAGGACCAGGCAAGGATTAGCTGGGTAAAGGGTCTCTGTGGCCAGGCTGGGCTCGGAGGCTGGAAAGGCAAAACTGAGCTAGAAGGAGGCCCAGGCTCCAACCAGTTGGGGCTGCAGGGAGGAAAGCAAGCAGGTTGGCGGCACAACCCCTGAGGGGGTGCACCAATGGCCTCCTGTCCGGGTGGGAGCCAGAGGGAAAGACCAAGCTAAGGTTCCAGTTCCGGAATAGTCAGTGTGCAGCTAGTGGATGAAATGCGTCCCAGATAGATCATGCTGGGATTAAGGAAAGTTGTCCAGTGGGTCCGGTGGCCAGGAGAAGTAAAGGTGAAAGAGGAAAGGTCATCAGAGCAGAGAGCAAACAGAGGGTATGGCTAGAAGATTCTTTCGTGAATAGAGTAGGAAATAAGGAGACAAGTCCAAAACGGGGCATGTGGGCCCCTGGCCCGCTCAGCCTGCACTCTCATCAAACCACAGAGACCTCGCCTCTGATTCTTCCAACCGTAATCACAGGCCTGCCTGGTTGTCAGAGCTCAAGAACTCTACAGCACGGTGGATTTTCAAGATAAGCCTTTACTCTCTGAAATTTCAGAGCCACACATATCTCACAACCTTGCTCTCCCACATGGATGAGGATAGCCTGGGATGTAAGGACCTGTGAAAAGTCTGAGAACACAAGGGCTGCTGGCTGTCCTCCATTCACCACGGGTCCTGTTTAACAGACAAGTAACTCTGGTACCTGGTCTGTGTCAGGCCCGCCAAGGACGGAGAAAAGCTTCTGAGGGCACTAGCACCTTGGAGTGTCAGCCTAGGGGAGGGGCGAGGGCATTTAAGAAGGGGTTAAGGACTAAAAGGATGGAGCCCAAATGGGCCAGGGGAGCTGGCTCTGTTCAGCATATGACTGGCAGTAAGAGGGTGAGCTGGAAGGAAAGACCATGCTGGAAGCGGCTTGGCGGGGTAGCCAAAAGCACATTTTTGAGAGATGTCCTAAGACAACTTGAAAAGAGCTGTCACATGCTTGGTAAAAAGGAAGTGCCCGGGAGTCCCAGAGACCCATGAGACCAGAAGCACCCGGGAAGGAGGGTCAGCCTCAGCACAGGGCTTGGAGGGAGAAGCTTGGCACATGGTCAGCTCCACCATTCTGGCTGGATGCTGCTAGAAGATGCAGTTATGCCCTGCAGCACCAGAAGGTCCAACAGCAGGGCCAGGCCATTCCACCTGCTGCCCTGGGGCCTCCACCCAAGAACCCCTCTCCCTGAAAGCCTGCCTGGAAACCTTCCGGCCACTCCTGCTTCACTCCCTGGAGCTACCAGAAGGATTCCAGGCTATAAAGTCCCACAGCAGAGTCCCTGCCCCATCAGGGGTGTGTGTGTGTGTGTGGTCCGGGGTGCCTCAGGTACTCTCTCCTCCACCCCTGCCCACACCGGCTCTTCTTGTTTCCTCCCACCTCTTTGGGGACACCACACCCCATGGATATGGGACAGATGTTAGTAGAGAACAGGGCCTTGGAGATTAAGGATCATTGCTCTTTAGCAGGGCCAGATACACAGCAAGCCCTGGCCTGCTGTCCCCTTCTAGGAGTCTTGGGCCATCACCATCCACAAAGAGCAGATAGGAAGCAGGCTTATACAGGCCCTGTCTCCAGAGAAAAGGGTCTTGGGTCCAGTAACTTAATGGGCTCTGCGTGTTGAAGTGATATAGCCACCGCTGTGAACTAGG